AGAAAAAATGCTCAATAGTGGTTGTGAAAACTTTCCTTTTTGATAAGGCTTATAGTTAGAGTGGCTCAGGTTATCCTGAGCTATCTCTATAGTTATGCTGCTATAGGCTTAGACTGCTGGAGGACATAGGGACCCCTATTTCATCATTCTGTTTCATTCTATCTCTATACTGTGACCCCATCCTGGAGAGAAATATCAGCTGTGCTGCTGCCATCAACATTTTTATTTTTAGATGTTGGAGATCGGCCTGTTTTTCCAGTGTAGTCATGTTTCTCTGACTGTGACTGGCTGGATGTGCTCTCTTCATCCTCTGACGTGGGAGCTGGCTCGGAGCTCGTCTGCCTGGCTGTGTGTTTCCTGGACGGGGCCGCATTTTACAGCTGCTTTTTGTAGCTCTGCTTCTGTCTCCTTGAACCTCATTTGGCTCAGCAGATGGCCGCTCACACTCAGCCTGGTTCTGCTGGAGGTTTCTTCCTGTTAAAAGGGAGTTTTTCCTCCCCACTGTCACTACAAGCATGCTTAGGGTGAGGGATTGCATTGGAGTCAATGAGTTGATGCAATCAACTGGTTTTCCTTAGATAGGATACTTAGAATCAATTTCATTGTATGATCTGGTTGAACTGTAAAGTGCCTTGAAATGACATGTGTTGTAAATTGGCGTTATATACTGTAAATAAACTAAATTGAATTGAATAAAGTGGTGGACAGGTGGACAATTTGTACTCAAGTAAGAGTGTCACTACTTATATGTTTTTTTTACTCAAGTAAAAATGTAAAAAGTCGTCATCCAAGAAATTACTCAGGTATTCGTAGAAAGAATATTAAGTACAGGGTAACTGTTGCATAATAACATCAGATTTAAGGTTTGTAAATGATGCTGGGAAACAGAATGTATGCGCAAGTTCTAGCTTGCATACAACAAAACAAATTCATGCAGAAGAAGAACCATTTTTTCAACATAAAACTTCTAAAACCAATCCTTACAGTGCAATGAAAACTGTATATATGTTAGGACAGGGAAAGGAACTTCACTGTTAATTTCTACTGATTACTGTATGTTTACCTGATTTTGGAATACTTCAAATTACTCACAGAGGACAGAGAACTAAGACATTTTAAAGTAGCAATACTTTTCAAGAATAAAAGTAAAAGTAACAAGTATGGCAGAGTAAACCTACTCCTCAAAGTTTTTTTTATTTTTTTATTGTTATTCAAGTAAATGTAACTGAATAATGTAACGATTTACTACTTATGTCTGGTGGTGGAAGCATCATGCTGTGGGATTTTTTTTTTCTCCAGCAGACACAGAGATGCTGGTCAGAGGTGATGGAAATATTTTTGAACAATGTTCTGAACAATTCTCGGGGAAAACTTGTTAAAGGCGAAGACTTCAGACTTAGAGGTTCGCGCATCTTTGTTTCTTTCTTTGTTTCTTTGTTTCTTTGTTTCTTTGTTTCTTTCTTTCTTTCTATTTCTCATGGTAAAAAAACAAATGTATATTAATCATATCAGTGTATCAAATAGACTACTCTGGACTGCAAACTCCTCACCACATGCAGCAGCAGGGGCAGAGGCCCTTGAAACCCTCAACCCACAAACTAATTGTGTGCTGACGCATCATTACTACAACAGAATATTGCATGCATGCTTTTTTTCCTTATGTTTTAATTTTGTTATTGCTGTATTTATCCATCAAAGCATTCATTTCGCTTTATTGGACCAGTTGTCCAAACAGACAGTAGAGTTTTCTAGAGGTTTAAGCTGAACAAAAATAATTCCCTTTTTATTGGAATCAGAAAATGTCCTCGCTGGTCATATATGTATAATTTCTAAAATATAGATGATGGCAGTGGTTATGGTGCAGCTTTAGATAGTACATTATGGGAAATTATTGTGTAGAACACATATAAATATCATCTAACATAAAATGACCTTATTAGGCCTGCAAAACTACCAAAAACTACTTCCAAAATCTGGTCCAGTTTTAAATCACAGCTCTTCAAGGCTTTGTCGCTCTCTAGTGGCGGAAAAACTAAACTGCAAGCGGTCGGTGGTAGGTTAGGAGATGAAAAAAACAATAGATACCATAAATACGCTGCTGTAAAAGCTTTTACATCTCTTCATAGTTTTATTTATTTTTTTATGTTACAAGGGCAGACTTCAGTGTAGTTCATTTAGATTTTATTTTACAGACGAAAACAAAGTCATTCATATCTGCAAGGAAATAATTTCTTGTGTTTAACTTTTTTTTTCTTTTTCTTTATAAATTAAATGTTAAAACAGGGTTGTCAACTTGTACATAATCACCTTTAATTGGCTACTTATAAATAACAAACAATTTATTAAACATTGGACACCATTGTGTGGTTTAATCTAAATATGTTTCCAGCCGTTTGAAGGCCTATGTGGTTTATTAGAGAACATTGGAGAATAATCTGCCGAGGACATTACAGACTGGTTAGGGAGTATGTTCTGGAGAGGTATAAATCTGGGTTAGGTTCTAAGATGACCACTTAAGCTTTGAACATCTCCCATAAATATATCCAACCCATCATGTGAACAATAAACACTGATGGCACAACCACTAACCTGTCAAGATGTGGACACCCACCTAGAACTGAGAGCATTAATACAGTGATATCTGCATGGGCTGCTACAGGGATTAAAAATTTAGGTGAGAAAATGTATCGGTATTCATTCAAGCCCTTGTTTACTTTTGTTGAAATCTGGAACAGTGAAAGGAAGAAGCTGTGTGTTGTAATTTGTTTAAGCTGCAACAACCCACAGTGACACAGTAAAATCTACTTTTCTCAGAAAATATTGTTTTTGACCCACAAGTTTGACCCGTCATGCCTTCCATGCTTTTCTTCAGTGAAAGTAGAATGAGAAAAGATAGATGGAGCTAAGTGTAAGCTAAAAAAGAAAACCGTCGCGAGGCCGGAGAAGGACGGAGTGGGTGTTCTCTTTCCAGTTGGATAAAACCCCCAAACAGGCAGCCAGAGATACAGTGAGCTGGTTTAAATCAAAGCATGATAGTGTTTTAGAACCACCTGGTCATAATGAGACCTAAATAAATAAAAAAACAAATCTATAGTCAGAATTAAAAATTGTTATTGATGATCTTTTAGCTTTAGAGAGTAGTAAATTTTTTCAGGTAACTAACATAACTCAGCAAGAACTGCTTAAGATTCAGCTTCAATCCTGTAGCGGAAACAAGGTCGACATTGTGCCAAAAATCAGGACAAGGCTTTTTCTTGGAGTCTACGAGGACCAGATATTTCTAAAAAGATATTCTCACAGAGATTCTCCAAAAAAAAAAAAAAAAAATACTCAGAGTCACGTAAAAATCCCATAAAGTTTTCTGTAATAGTTTCCCTCCAGCCATGGGCGGCTCTAGACAGGGGCCAACTTAGGTTACTACCCCTGTAGAACTGGTTAAGTCAGTATTACTTACATTTACTTAATTTGAGCAGCTAAGTTAAACAATTAGCCAATGGAATATCATAAATTCACGTCTAAAAAAACAGAAAAAAATCATAAAATTTAATTTTTTTGTTTATCATATCAAATTATGTTATTTTATGAGAGCAACAATCCTCCTTTCTGTGGTAGATCATCATATTTACTTGCTCAAATTAAGAGAAAATACAGCTATTTTAAGGAACTTTTACTTTCTTAGACCAGTTTTTACAGGTTAATACTAAATCAATTTCTTATGATAAGTGATGAAGAGAGTCCTTCAGACCAATTGGATATTATACCTTTAAAATTAAACAATGTTTTGGAAATTACAGTCAGCTTTAAGCTTCAGGCTCACAAACATCAGTTTTCATCTCTTAGATCAGGAGCTGAAACCTTGGCTCTATGGCTCACTTAAGATACTAAATTATATGTTTTAGCTCTGCTTTTTTTGTGTTTGTTATTATTTTGCTCTTTGCCCCCCCACCCCTTGATTTTACCTAGAACCACCACTGCCTCCAGATGAAGGATTCCTCAGAGAAACATGCAGTTCTCTTTCTTTTTTATTTAGGTGCAGCTAATAGTGGAATTCTGTTTCTTTCTATCACTGCTGTTTCTGCAGCAGGATACAAAACACTGTATTTTAGTCTTCTTTAGTCAGCATGCTCAGTCTCTCAAGGATAAAAAAAAAGAAAATCTCTGACGCGCTGTATCCATGTGGGTGGTGAAGCTATTGCTCACCCAAGTCAAGGCCTGCATGTTTTTTGGTGCTAAGACATTTATGGAGCTTATCGGTTCCTCTAGAGTCCATCGGCTAAAAAGATCCTTTCTAAACCTAACATGACTCATGGAAAATAGGTTTGAGGAGCTTAAAAACAAACCAAAGAGATCAATATGTAGTTGATGACACTATATATAGTTACCCTATAAGTTATGCAATGTTTTTTTGCATTTAACATAGTTTTTTTTTATTAATTGTACATAATACTTACATCCTGATTCTCCCTGTTTAGGCATGTTGCTACTTTGAGTGGCTCATTTGAATCCTATTTTAGTCATTTTAAGTGAAATTTAGGTACCCGGTTCGAGGGACCCTGAGCAAGACCCTAAACCCCACACTGCTCCCCAAAAGGAATGGGTTAAATGCAGAGGCACATTTCTCCAATGTGAGATCAGTAAAATAGTTAAATTATCATTATTTTTTTGTAATTATTATATAAGTTTTGTCTAAATTCTATAAATACCAGATGCATGCATTTGGATGAACTATTGCTTTAACGTCAGCTCTTTTTAAATAATATATTATATCTACAGGTGGTGATATAACCAGTGTATCTCTATAGATAGATAGATAGATAGATAGATAGATAGATAGATAGATAGATAGATAGATAGATAGATAGATAGATAGATAGATAGATAGATAGATAGATATTTACGTCAGTGTGCGCGTGCGTTTGTATTTCCAGTGATACGTGCGCGCGCATAATAAAAGCCCTCTGATTCACGTGCGGAAGAGCGTCTGTGAGGGGTGGGGAAGAAGAAGTGACTTATGGGATGCGAAGTAGCCGGGCGGCTGAAAGAGACACGAAGGGGGGGAAGAGTGGGTGACATTCAGAGGAAACAGCTGAAGGAAGAGCGGGAAATAAGAGGAGAGGAACAAATTCGCCGCTTATACGATTCATTCGAGGCTCAATGTCCAGGTTTGCGCACACAGCCGGTGGATTCTGAGCGGAAGCAAAAGTTCAGATCCCACGGACCAGCGCGTGGGAGAAGGGAGCAGGATCGAGCTCCACTGTCATGGCAGGTAATTCACGTCCAACCCTTCCCACGGACGCGTGGAGCTGGTGGTTTGAATGTGTTCCACTGCCGCTCGGCTACTGGGTTGTGGTTCGTTCCGGCTTGTTCTGTGTTTCGCTAACGGAAGCTAAGCAGCTAACCAAAGTTAGCTGTGCTAACCCTTAGCTAGCCGGTAGAAACAAGTGTCACCCTCACGACGAGCTCCCTTTACCGACTAAAAATGACCACCCAGCTGCTGCTCGCAGGTGATCTGTGGTATCCGTATCGCTGGGACTATTTTCTGCATAACTGTCGCTTTCGCCTAAGCGCCGCTTCAGTTTCCGCAGCTTATTAGAAGCGTTGCGCTTTAATATTGCAAACCACGGTGCTAAAAATTGAGGTTTGTTTCAGTAAAATAACTAAAAATGATGTCTAATTGTTGTGGAACACACCCCAACTGTCCTGACAGCGCAGAGGAGCTGTAGCCACAGATGGGAATTCAGGTTACATTTAGAGAGCCGGATGTTTCGGCTCGGTTCACCTAAAAGAACCGTTTCTTACGGTTCCTGAACGACTCTTCTCATGCCTCCCTTTTTTACCTCGCCCCTTTGGTGTTTCTCAACAGAAAATGGAACAGTATGATCACAGCTTGGTAATGAGGACTGTTATCTAAAAAGTTCAGTAAAGGATTGCAATTACTGATTGGGTGGATTATTTCTTAACCAGATTATAAGATTCTGATATTATGTTTGAGCAAGAGTTAGATCCTAACCCATAAGTTATGATGGATGCTGTCAAGGATGGCGTAGAGGAAAACAATCATCACATTTAATGATGGCTTACTACACTAACTATAAAAATACACTGCCTAGAACTCTACAAACTAGGCAATAATCCTACATCTACAACTGCCAGCGTCTGCTGGAGCTTTTTTCACAAAATGTTGTTTCTGGACACCTAAGTACAGCCACTTTTGAGCTTTAAAAAAGCAGCAGTGTGCTTTGGACAGATGTAAACAAAGCTCCCACACTGTTTACATTTGATCACTGCTGCAATTTATGAAATGGAAATGTTCATTTCACTGCTAAGCTGCTGCTCTTTCACTGTACAAAAGCTGTACAAAACAAAAGTTTATACAAAAAATTAGGGGTGTAAATAATAATTGTTTTTTATCCATGCATTGATACGTCCGTATCATGTTTTTTTTCACGCTGTGGTGGCACTAAATCTATTTTGCCCTCCTACCTCGCTTCCTTTAGCCAATACCCTCTTTGCGCTTGCAGTATTTTTTGATGCAGAATCTATAACAGAGGCATTATTATTTTTCAGTGAACCAGGTTTTCATTGGTCTAGATGGAGTACGACTTTGCTGCTTCTATTATTTGCTGTTGTTTCTCAAGTAAAATGCATAACAATATTACAGCTTTAATTTATATTATTTCAAATTTGAAACATCGTCTAGCCTGTTGGGTAAAAATATTTAACCAATTAATCAGATCAAATCGCTCTGTCAGGAAATTGATACTGAATCGAATTGTCATGATTGGTGTGATTTACACCCCTACAAAAATACACTCTGTGTATACAAAATGACAATAAAGACTGTCTAAAGGCTGATTTATACTCAGAAACCAGGTCGTCTCCGTATGTGTTGCAGTGAATGCAAATGTGCCCCTTCTGCAGACACTCTGCTGCACCTCTCCAAAATTATATGTGATCGCAGACAGAAGGCATCTGATTGGTCAAATCTATATCCACTCCACACTATGCGTATTTTCTGTTTGGTACCTTACCAGCTTGTTTTGTTTGTATGATTGCCATTGCCGAAAACGACTAGTGAAGATGGACCAGCTAGAAGTGCGAGGTGTGCGAGAACGCTGGGACCCTTTTTCCCCCTGGATCCCCTCTCTTTTTCGCTCCCATGTCGCATGACAGCTAGTTCCTGATTGTCCCTCTTGTGTTGTGACGTGGAATAGCATAGAGCAGACCACGCTTCAATATTGGGCATAAATCAAAAATATCTGCAACAAGCTCACAGCGACACCCTGCTGCGGGGAGTATAACCAGCCCTTAGGTCTAATCAAATGAAACAGGATGTTTGCATACACCATATACAAACAAATTGCATACAATTATGGATGAATGGTACATTGACTGGATTGATTAATTGAATTTGCCGTTTTATGATTTTTTTGGAAAAGCTGAATTGTTTTCAGCCATGCGTTCCTTCTGTGATGTCAGACAGCGCTTCTATGTTCCTTCTGTGTGTGTTCTTCTGTTGGTCTTTGCAGGAGGCCACTCTCACAGGATTGTTTTGGTCTAAAAGGAGTTTTGTTTCTTTCTCTACTGTCACTGCATGCATGCTCAGTGTGAGGGATGAACAAAAATACAGGGAAAGTAAAAAATATCAACTGCTGCCACATGCTTGTCTAGGAAGAGGAATCCTGATTGCAACCAGTGACTGGATGCAATCAGATGATCTTCCTTGCATAGAAAACCTATTCGTTTTTTATAGATTTTTCTCTGTAAGGCACCTTTAGATGATATGGGTTGTGAGTTGTCTCTATATAAATAAATAATCTTTACAAGCATATTACACAGCTTCTATTGTTTAATGAAACCACAAAGTTTCGCTGAAATTTTTCCTGCTTTTGGTTGGTCAAAATAAACAAAATAGTTCTTAGTTGTGAAAGCGTTTCCTGCACTGCTTTGTTCAAAATCAGAACTTGACATGCTTTGCTTTATCGTTTGGTAGTATTGCCTTTTAAAACTTGCTGACACACCTTCTCAGCCCTGCCCACACATTTTCTTTGGCAATGACTAAGCAGCGCCTTTGTTATCCAGGAGCCATTTTGTAACCAATTACACCATGTGATTAAGGGTCATTGTCCACTTGATAGACATACTTGTGCTTTAACTTCCAGGCTGATGTCTAAAGGTGATATGATTTACTTCATACCATCTTTAGACCCACACAATATCACACTTCCACCACTGTACTTCACAGTTGAGGGTCTCATGCAAGCCTTTTTCATTTTCCTGTATTTATAATAGACAAAAGCTTCACTTAGACCACTGGACTTGACTTGATGCAACGTCTTTGCCTCTGCAAGCATATGCATGTTTATTTTTTTATATTTCTTTAAGAGAACTGTATTCATTCAACATTTACACAAGATATTAAACTTCATTTGGGGCCAAATGAATCCCAAATTGCTCACCAAAATACTTCCATCTCTTGGACATAGGAAGTGCATCCGTCCTGCACTATATTTGCAGGTATGAATTCTAGTTTAAACAGTTGTTTCCCACGTTGTTTATACCTGCATTTACTTGTTTGAATGGAGAATTGTGGCACTTTCACAGATCCACAGGTTTGCTTATGTGTAAACCTTAATGTGGCGAACCCCAGACAAACAGCAAGGTGATTACAGCAGGAAACAGGAAACCATCTATAGCCCAGTAAAACTTTGCATTAAGTGTCGGCACCAAGGACGGTGAAAGTCCAACCGAAAGACAAAATATATTATTGACAGAGCTTGCATGGCTGTGCAGAATGCATAATCATCCAAGCTCTCCTTTCTGATTGTGATATTGCACTCTGATACTGCAATAAGGATTTGCTATTGGATATATTACACACTTTTGAACTGAATCATAGTGAAAATGAACTAGTGAGTTTATGCACTGAAAATTTAGTAACATTCAGAAGATAAAAATAATGTTATCAATCCAAACTGACCTAAAACAGGAACAGTTTAGTCTATATAAAATCAGATGGTACACAAACGCACCAAATTCTAAGGTTTATGTTTATCAACTAATGGTTTGAAAGTCACAAAAATATGCAGATTTATATCGATGTAAACAACAGACGTCTGTAGAGAATGATGTGTCATCATAAGCAAAACATGCTTTGGGGTTTGATGCTGGAGCTACTAAACTCTGGCTGTATTTAACCTTCATTGCAGTGTTTCATGTTCTCTAAAGCATGTGACGTTATGCCTGCATAAAGTTCCCAATGCATCATTAATTTACTGTGCACAATGATCAGGGAAAGCGCCTGCATGCCAGCAGCTTTCTGTAGTACTATCGGTTTGTCCAAACCAGCCTCTGTTGGGTAAGCGGCTCTGAAGCAGCTTCTCATGGTGAACTTCTTCGCTTATTTTTACTGTGATCTGGGTTTAAAGTTAAAGATGACTTCACCCTAACAGAAATGATTTGGGTAGCTCATGTTTTTTGTAATAGTGCAATATTGGATCATATTGATTTTTTGTTTTTTTGTTTTTAGGGCTACACATGCAGCATAAGCTAAAGAGGATATTTGCACATATCTGGCTACACATGCTTTTGCAACACTTTCAGCTCCAAACTGTTTTACATTTTATTGATTCACCGCATGAAGTTGCCATAACTTGGCCTTTTTTTTCTTTTTTTTTTGTAAATGAGAAATACCAATCACAATAGGTGCAATTCTTTGACTTATCTTATGAGTCTTATTATTATCAAAGGCGTTTGTTATCAGAAGTATTTATTGCAGATTCTCTCATCCTAATAATGCAATAAACCTGTATCAATATTCTTTTTTTTGTCTTGCTAAAGGACCTGGAGGTGACATGCAGTGGTGCTTCTCGCAGGTGAAGGGAGCCATTGACGATGACGTAGCTGAAGGTATGTTATGATTTAAGATGGCCAATCATGTCATTAGGAAATTTTTTTAACAAAACTTGACTGCTTGTAGGGGATGCCTTGCAACTAATGTGAAAAATATGAAGAGATCCTCTTAATGTTGTGCACCAAATTAGGGCTGCAGCTATTGATTCTTGTTCATCAGTTATAAAAAAAATTTTTTCATGAGTCTAAAAAAATAAATACTAGTAATGTAACATTTCAAAATAAATGTTTGGAATTTAGAGAGAAAATTTTGCGCTTTTGTAAATAGGGAAAAGATGTTAATATCCATCTGCCTTACTGAAAATGTTTATTTTATTTTATTGTTTTGTAGTATTTTATACAAACTGCTGCTATAATTGTACATTTTAATCAGATTTCCCCTTCATACCTGTCACATTATATAGAGGTCTCTCTTGTAAAAGAGATTTCTAATCTCGGTAAGACATACCTGGTAGTACGGAAGAGGATTAGGGCCACTGAAAAAAAAAAAAAAAGTTAACTGATTTTTAAAAATAATTTTCAGTTTAGTATGGGGGAAAAAGTCAGAATTCTGAATTTAATCTCAGAATTCTGACTTTTTTTCTCAGAATTCTGACTTTAATCTCAGAATTCTGACTGAATTCTGAGATTAAAGTCAGAATTCTGAGATTAAAGTCAGAATTCTGAGATTAAAGTCAGAATTCTGAGGAAAAAAGTCAGAATTCTGGGATTAAAGTCAGAATTCTGACTTTTTTCCCCATACTATACTGAAATAAAATAAAAAAAATCTGTTAACTTTTTTTTTTTTTTCAGTGGCCCTAATCCTCTTCCGTATGGTGGTGTTAATTTTAGCAGCCATTTTTAAATTTAGTTTCAGTTTTAGTCCAGTTTCAGCATCGCTTTTTAGTTTTTATCACATTTAGTCGACATCATCCCATTTATATTTAGTCTAGTTTTAGTCGACTATAAGTCGAGCATTTTAGTCTTTATTTTAGTCCAAGAAAACATAATTTTATTCGTTTAGTTTTAGTCAACAAAAACTGTCAACATTTAGGTCTAGTTTTAGTCGGGACATAATTTTAACATTTTTCTTTTTTGTCAGCAGATAATAATTAACATTTCCTAAAATTATTTCACACTTCAACATTTTCTCTCATCTTTTTGATTAAAAAAAACACAATTTTAAGGAACACATGCAGACATGAAAGATGTTCTTTATTTATTTTGAACATTAAGATTCTAAGACAAAAATGCTTGCATTAAAACAAATAAAATACACCAGACAAAGGAAACAAATAAATAAAATAAAGTGTCTTATGAACTTAACACAAGTGCTGGCTGTTTAAAGCTAGTTCACATAGAATAATAAAATAAATTGATTTGAGGTCAATGTTGTGAGAAAAAAAAAATCCACACAAAAAAGAACTTCACACATGACCTTTATCTAACCACCTGGTTAGATAAAGGTCATGTGTGAAGTTCTTTTTTTAACTGACCTACTAATTGCATTTACTCCGATTAAACATTTCAACGCTACAGTTTAGTCTTATGAGTTTAGATCCATTTTGTGCAGTGTTTTTTACATTTTTACTTCCTACCCTCCAATGTTCAGCTCTTGGTACAAAATGCATCAAGCCTTTTTCTTTTGTATGGTTTCATCTATAAAGTAAACACAGATGATGGCGTTGTTGCTTTATTTAAACCCTGCCCACCACTATGAAAGTACTTCTTTGTGACTGAAAACACTCCCTTATCTACCGTTCAGGTTAGAGACTCATCACTTAGTTTCATTGTCCCTCCACCCTAACCTAACCCAAACAGGCAGAGTCCTGCCTTTAATTAAGTCTCTTTTTTTTTTTCAGTAAAAGTGACTAAAAATGAGCTTATGTAAGCATTTGAGATCACTCGTGGTGACAGCCTTTCTTGGCTAACAAAGCTGTTTATGGAGCCTGAGTTTCTGTCCCATTCTACTGAGTTACAATAAAAAAAATGTCACTGTTTTTTTTAGACTTTATTTGACAAAAGATAATGCAGTCTGCAATCTTGTCGCTGCTGGAAGAAAGCATCCCCGCAGCATGATGGACTCACCACCATGTTTCACTGATAGTCTCTGGATTTTTTTTTTTATCTTACCTGAATAAATTACCGTAAGAGGCTTGACCATATTTAAAAAAATATGTAAAATTGTGATTCTTACTAATTTTTAGGGATGCACGATATTGGGATTTTGGCCGATATCCGATATGCCGATATTTTAAAACTCATGTAGCCGATAACCGATGTCGATACCGATGTTAAAGCTGGACAAAAATAAGTAGTCATTGAAAATAGCAGTTTTGTTATCCATTTCTGACACTTTGAAAAATAATATACTCAAATATATTTTCATATGCTGATATCAAATAGATTTTTAAAAACGCGGTATCGATCTATTTTACTTTCAAAATCTCGTGAAATTTCATCGTTCTGTTACAAACTCGTGATATTTTGCAAATTCTTGTGAGATTTTGTTAGTAAAATAGATCGATACCGCGTCAATATATCAACATATAAAAATATGGCAAATTTTCGGGGATTTCAGAGCATAACGATGACATATAGCAATATTTAATTAGTAAAAGAGATTGATATGGTGTTTTGAAATGGCAATATATCAGCATATGAAGATATTGTGATATTTTAATGTATCAATAGTTTTCCCTCGTCTTTAGAAGTTTTTAAGTCTGTAAAAAAGAAGTTTTTTAGGAAGAAGAAGTAGTATTTTATTTTATTTTTTTAGACTTTAGAAACTCAGAAGCTGATCAAATATCGGGTTAAATATCGGTGGGGTGGCCGATGTCCGATATTCAGTTTTAAGGCCGATACAGGCCGATACCGATAGGGGGCCGATTATATTGTGCATCCCTACTAATTTTAGTTTCTTTCAAACAGCAATTAGACACCACATGTATGTGTTCCTCAGCAGAATGCATTGAAGATTTTATTTGCAACATGACTAAATGCGCTTGATCAGTGCTGAGACTCTCCTGTATGACGCCCCATTCTGGGCCTCAGGCGCTTCCAACAGCACAAAGGCCCCTCGCTACAATCTGGTCGCTCATTGTCTTTCTGCTCCAGTGGGCAACAAAGGTCTAAGCTAGTGTGCAAGGATATGTGAGCGTGATTCAGTTTGTGGAGTACAGTACAGCTGGGGGAGACGTGAAAGGCAGATTTAGCAACTGGGGTGAAAAGAAAACTGATCCTGTTCTCTTGACTCTGTTTTCCAACATCTGAATCTCTCCTCTCCACCTCCCTGATCCCCGTCATCTCTCTGCCCAGCGGACATTATATCAACGGTTGAGTTTAACCACACAGGAGAGCTGCTCGCCACTGGAGACAAGGGTGGGCGTGTCGTCATCTTCCAGCAGGAAATAGAAGTAAAGCCTCATTTGTTTTCCCTTTTATTGACACTGTATATCAAGTGTATTGTAGGATTTTTTATTTTTTTTTGAGATGGTTACAAATATTTGAGTGTTTTTGGAGGAAATAAACTTTATCAAACAGGAAACGGGTAAACAAATGTCTGCATTTCTCCTCTTAGAACAAGAGTCTGCCCCAGTTCAGAAGCGAATACAACGTTTACAGCACCTTCCAGAGCCACGAACCCGAGTTTGACTACTTAAAGAGTTTAGAAATAGAGGAGAAAATCAACAAGATCCGCTGGCTTCCTCAAAAGAACGCTGCTCAGTTCCTCTTGTCCACGAATGGTAAATCTCCAGCTTTTATTGGTTTCAAACACCCCCTTTCAGAAGTTTTTATTCATTTTTTATCGCATTCCTTAGACCTGAACAGAAATGTTTGCTTGATTAAAATGTCGAAACTGTTTTCACTTAGTCTTTTATAGAAAATGTCATAGCAAAGGTCCTTGGATGAATTTAATACAAACACTTATCTTTGAAAAATGATTAAATCTACAAAATAAAATGACTGCAGCAATAAAACATGTTTAGATCAGGGTACCAGAGATTTGTCTCGCTTTGACTGTACTGGCTTGAACCCTTTTATATATTTACCTTCATGACAAAATTAAAATTTTTTTTATCTTTTGGAAAATTGTTTTGAATAAGCTAAAAATTGAGGGTGTCGATTTAAGTTGAGTTTTATTCCCACAGCTTGTTAGTTTTTTTTTTTTTTTTTTTTTTTTTTTTTATATATATATATCTGCTTTAGCAGCAAAAAAACAACATTTATTTCTTATAAATACCTAGCTCAGGTTAAAAGTCCAGTAAATGTGATGTAGTTAATTGTTTGGAGCTAGCTGAAGCCAGCTAATGTGGCTAAGCTAAAGCTTGGGACATGTTTAACATCTTGCAATAATGCTACTATATTAATGATGAGAGTTTTCAGCATTTTGAAATGTGACATCTACAAAGGAATGAGATCACCACAGTTCCACACTGTTATTTTCTTAAAAACTGGATTATTCCTTAAGTCAGTTGGTTGCAATGGATTTTATCTTGTGATCCTTCAATTTAGCTATGCACAGCTTTGCATTAGTGTGACATAAAATACATCTGTGGTGGTAACATGACTGAATGTGGAAGAGAATGACGTTTTTTCATCAATCTGATGTGCTCTCTTTGTTTGAACAGATAAAACAATTAAATTGTGGAAAATAAGCGAACGGGACAAGCGACCAGATGGCTACAATCTCAAAGAGGAGGATGGCCGATACAGAGATCCTAACACTATCACGGCACTGCGGGTCAGTCAGAACCACAAACTCTGCTTGTATCAGTAAATTTTGACTAGAGACTGACGGATTGATCGATCAGCCAATTATTTTGGCCTATTTAAGCATTGTTTTTCTTGGTATCAGCTGATCCTTGTATACATTCGCTGATTCATTAGTGCTTTCAGCGGACATACTTTGAGATCCATTGCTGGTGAAGACTCTGTTATCAAGGTCATAGTCATTCCAAAAAAAGTTAAACAATCCACTGGACTTTGTTTCCAAGTTAGAAGATGTTTTGCTTCCCAATTCTGACATTTTTAATTTAAAAAGCCTCCTGGATGGGAAGCGAAACGTCTTCAATCTTGGAAACAAACTCCTTGAGATGCATTAACATTTTCTTTAACTTGTTGATAAATATTATTTTTTTGTTTAAATCGATACTTCTGCAAAGTTTTTTATCGTGTTATTTTCTTTATGTAAATGGGGAAGACAGCAATATCAACCAATATTTGTCCAGAAAATAAGCAGCACATGTCCAGGTCAAAATAATCTATCTGCATTGGCCTTAAAACGTAGCGACAGATCGCTAATTTTGATCTAAATAAAAAAAACTATTTCAAAAGCGATTTCTGGGTGCAGGTACCCGTTTTAATACCTATGGACCTGATGGTGGAAGCCAGTCCTCGGAGGGTCTTCGCCAACGCTCACACCTACCACATCAACTCCGTCTCGGTCAACAGCGACAACGAGACCTACCTGTCTGCAGACGATCTCCGCATCAACCTCTGGAACCTGGAGATCACCGACCGCAGCTTCAGTATCCTTAACAACCAACCTACTCCACTTTTAACCTTCTTTCTTTACTGTAAAAATGTCGGTGCAACGGTTGCCCCTCCTTGACCGCATGTTCCTCAGACATTGTGGACATTAAACCAACCAACATGGAGGAGCTGACTGAGGTGATCACAGCAGCAGAGTTTCATCCTCACCAGTGCAACACCTTCGTCTACAGCAGCAGTAAAGGAACCATTCGTCTGTGTGACATGAGAATTTCAGCGCTTTGTGACAAGCACTCAAAGTGTGAGTTTATCTCTGTTCTCCTTTAGGAGATACTTTGCTGTCGGATCATCTGCTTCTAGAGCCTTAAGGGTTTCTGAAATGTTGAGAAAAGTATCACACTGAAAAGAACCCTTAAAAACTTCAACCTCTTGCAGAAAAAGGTAATAAATAAAATAAAAAAGGGTAAAATTCGGATAAACCTCCACCACGCTGCTGTTAAGGTTGATTTTTACTCAGAAACCAGGTGCGTAACTATGCACCTGCATATTTCCTGTTTGGTACCTTACCTTACCGCCATTGTGGAAAACGACTCATGAAGATGAACAAGCTAGAAGAGTAAGGAGCAGGAGAACACTAGGACCCTTTTTCCACCTGGATCCCTGCTCTTTTTCGCCCTCATGTCCCTCAGTTGTGACACAAACTTGCGCCCACTTCCTCACCGCTTCGGCTGTATCTAGACCCACAGCTAGTTCGTGACTATCCCTCTTGCGTTGTAGCGTGGAATAACATAGTGCAGACCACGCTTCAATATTGGGCAAAAATCAAGAATATCTGCGACAAGCTCACTGTGACACACTGCTGCGGGAGGATAACCAGCCCTTTAGAGCGTCTTTAGTACCGGTTCTCTGGAAGTTCCCACCTTGATTCTGAAAATCTGGTTCTGTCCCAGTTTGCCAATGCATCAAAGTAATGAACCTCCTTCTGTTAGAAGCTAGAGAAAGACTCATGAGAATCCTGCCGCCAATGAAGTAATTTTTTTCTTGTAAAATTTAAGTTATCATCAATGAGGTTTTACTTTAAAAACCTCATTGATGATAAAGCTGATGATCAATCAGAATGATCAAGCTGCCTCTGAGCTTCATGAACTATGTTTTGAACCTTTAAATTTAACCCTTAAATTGGGTCAAAAGCTATTTTTTTTCATCTGAATCCATAAATACTTTTAATTCGGTTCTAACAGAGTTAACCTTTGAGAATCCCCAGGTGGTTTTGAAATATCTGCTCTAAAGATACACTATATTGCCAAAAGTATTTGCTCACCCATCCAAATTATTGGAATCAGGTGTTCCAATCACTTCCATGGCCACAGGTGTATAAATTCAAGCACCTAGGCATGCAGACTGTTTTTACAAACATTTGTGAAAGAATGGGTCGCTCTCAGGAGCTCAGTGAATTCCAGCGTGGAACTGTGATAGGATGCCACCTGTGCAACAAATCCAGTCGTGAAATTTCCTCGCTCCTAAATATTCCACAGTCAACTGTCAGCTGTATTATAAGAAAATGGAAGTGTTTGGGAACGACAGCAACTCAGCCACGAAGTGGTAGGCCACGTAAACTGACGGAGCGGGGTCAGCGGATGCTGACGCGCATAGTGCGAAGAGGTCGCCAACTTTCTGCAGAGTCAATCACTACAGACCTCCAAACTTCATGTGGCCTTCAGATTAGCTCAAGAACAGTGCGCAGAGAGCTTCATGGAATGGGTTTCCATGGTCGAGCAGCTGCATCCAAGCCATACATCACCAAGTGCAATGCAAAGCGTCGGATGCGGTGGTGTAAAGCACGCCGCCACTGGACTCTAGAGCAGTGGAGACGCGTTCTCTGGAGTGACGAATCGCGCTTCTCCATCTGGCAATCTGATGGACGGGTCTGGGTTTGGCGGTTGCCAGGAGAACGGTACTTGTCTGACTGCATTGTGCCAAGTGTAAAGTTTGGTGGAGGGGGGATTATGGTGTGAGGTTGTTTTTCAGGAGCTGGGCTTGGCCCCTTAGTTCCAGTGAAAGGAACTCTGAATGCTTCAGCATACCAAGACATTTTGGACAATTCCATGCTCCCAACTTTGTGGGAACAGTTTGGAGCTGGCCCCTTCCTCTTCCAACATGACTGTGCACCAGTGCACAAAGCAAGGTCCATAAAGACATGGATGACAGAGTCTGGTGTGGATGAACTTGACTGGCCTGCACAGAGTCCTGACCTCAACCCGATAGAACACCTTTGGGATGAATTAGAGCGGAGACTGAGAGCCAGGCCTTCTCGTCCAACATCAGTGTGCGACCTCACAAATGCGCTTCTGGAAGAATGGTCAAAAATTCCCATAAACACACTCCTAAACCTTGTGGACAGCCTTCCCAGAAGAGTTGAAGCTGTTCTAGCTGCAAAGGGTGGACCGACGTCATATTGAACCCTATGGATTAGGAACGGGATGTCACTTAAGCTCATATGTGAGTCAAGGCAGGTGAGCAAATACTTTTGGCAATATAGTGTAGTTTTCCTCAAACTCTGCAGTTCTGTTACAGACGGATCAACTGATCAGGATTGTGACTCTTTAACAAAACATAATTTAAGCTGCTTGTATTAAGGTTTCTGTTTGCAGGAATGTTTAGATAAATTAGAAGATTTTTTTCTTTATTTTGAAACTCAGATGAAATCTCCCAGTAACACAGGAAGAGGTTCAGTGTTGAAGAGATGAGACGGTTTTAAAAATTAAACCAGTCAAGAACTGAAGCCACTCTGGAGGAACAGCTGTATGTCTGTCATTTTCCAGCTGTTTATTTTGACGTCATCGGTCGCAGAGTTCAAGTCGGAACTTTTTCCACAGAAAATCCCAAAACGCTGGTTCAGACACTGTTGTTCTTTGAATGTCACTTGAGGTTATAAGGCTGAGAGTCACTGCCCTGCTAAGCTAAATAGAAACTAGGGCTGAAGCGATATGGCTTAAAAATGTAATCTAAAGTTTTTTTCAAACCTTATCCAATTAAGGAATTTTTATTTTTCCTACTTAAAGGTATAGTGGAGGACGTTCTTTTTTTGCGGTGGATCATCAAAATAGGTTGTCCTCCTAATTTTCAGTCATTTTGGTGATATGTTTACATAAGGCCGTCCTACGTGCTTGTCCCCATTTTCACTTACCGGTGGTGAGTCTGACATAGTGGAAAAATTGGAAATCTTCTTTTGGAAAGTAAGCTTGTATGAGCGATGCAAACAACTTTTAAACTGGGCGTGCACGAGGAGAAATGGGCTCATGCACGCTCTCACACACGTTTAATAGGCATTCTCTCTTGGTAGTGGGTACAGGGTTGTGCATGTGCATTTTTTTGAAGTGGAGAGCAGTTCTCAAAAATTCACCAAAATCCTCCACTATGCTTTTAAGTTTCATATTAGAAAATAGCAATTAAATATATTCCTTTAAAAAACTTTTCCTTTTTAACTGAATCAGCCCCTCTGGGAGGTGATAATTAATTAATTTTAAAGGGCAACAAAGTTCAAGCAGTGAAAATTGATATGAAAATGATCATATTTCACAACAATGAAAATATAACAAAGTAAATATTTGCAGCAACTGGTATCACACAGTGAGCTAGGTTATGGTTTAACATGTATGACCTAAAGGTGATGGCCTGATGAGACTGAGCTACAGGAGCTCAAGGAGTTGATTGTTGGAAATTAAATCATCAAAAGAAAATGATCATAATTGATTTTAGTTATGTTAATTTTTTTCCGCTTGGTAATTGTTTGATGCTGGGACATCAGTTACTGCTTTTCTTTATCTGATGAAGAAGCCTCTGATCTCTATAGGTCTGTCTTTCTCTCCTCCAGTGTTTGAAGAGCCTGAAAACCCCAGCAACCGCTCCTTCTTCTCAGAGATCATATCCTCCATATCGGATGTCAAGTTTAGCCACAACGGACGTTACATGATGACTAGAGACTACTTATCCGTAAAGATATGGGACTTGAACATGGAAAACAGGCCAGTGGAGACGTACCAGGTAAGAAGGAGCAGTAATACTGAAGTGTTGCTTTGAGGTTTTTAGTTGGCTGTAAACGAAACGAGATTTTAAAACCCATCCAGCCCCAGTGAGTGGGGTTGGGCATTTAGAGTTTATAATCTTGTTTTACTGTAGCGGACAAAGATCAGATTTCAGACTCTTATCATTTGGTTAGGGCTTTTTATCATATTAAAACCAAGCTACAAAGGATTCAAATACGTTTTTAAATTTAAAGATAAAGTATATTTAATATTTTTAATAGTTTATCAGAGAATCTGAGATATTCTGGAATTTGTGAGGCAGGATTCTCCACAACAGATGCTACACGATGACCAGAGACTACTTATCCTTAAGGATTTGATGAACTATTAAATCTCTGATTAATTTTTTTTTCTGAGCATGAGCCATAGAGGTTTTTAATTATTAATTAGTAAATATTATCAAGTACAAAGGAGATAAGTCTAATAATATGAGCCCTGCCTTCAATGAAATGACAAGAATTTCTTTTTTTTTTTTTTTTTAAAGCCACTGAACTTTCTGTAATGGCCACTAGGGGTCGGGCTAAACACTTTGTTTAATAGTTGGATTTATAAAGAACTTTTTCAGTAAAGATGTTAAAAATCAGATTAGATCCAGAGTTTTAGGATTGTTTCTTCTGCTTCTTCACTCTTTTGCTCCATTCAATTATTTCAGGTTCATGAGTACCTCAGGAGCAAGCTGTGCTCGCTCTACGAGAATGACTGCATCTTTGACAAGTTTGAGTGCTGCTGGAATGGAGATGACAGGTACAAGCATGATGCTAATAATTTCTAAGAATTGCTTCATAAATCATTTTCCAGAAGTTTGGGCGTAGATTCTTCTCTGAAACCTTTTGTTTTCTATCATGTCATGCACTAAATTGTTGGGATGTTCCTTATGGTGTTTGTATAGTTCAGGGTGTGGAAATGCCTAGAAGTACTCTTGTTTAAACAGGATAAATGAGACCCGGAGTCAAATCGGCTTTGAAACTGGATTCCTGAACAACAGCCCGTTTAAAGGAAGTCGCACCACTTCAATCAAAAAAGGAGCATTTTTATTCCAAATACTCAGAGGTTCTGCACTCTCAATGGACAAAAAAGCATACAAAGTTTACTGTTGAAGAACTGCACCAAACGAGGCTTTTCAGGCACAGATGATATCAGAGTTTTGCAGCTAATTTTGATCTGTTAGTTTCATAGACTTGTCTTATTCTTTAAGAAACATTATAAGCTAAAATAGGTTGCAGGAATGCTATACTCGGTAAAAAAAAGATAGGGTTTTATTGATATTTCAAAATAGAAACAAATGTTGAATTAAGAATTTTGCTTATGTAAGAATTAGCAAGGTTAGTGTCACAAAAACCAAGCTTCCCTCTGCTTTGAATTCTTACTAAAATGTAAAACTAAAACCCCTTTTTTGTCTTTTTGTCTACCTGTTATCTGTATTTATTTAAAAGGACAAAATGAACATCAGTATGAGATACTGATGTTTATAGAACATCAGTATCTCATACTGATACATACAGCTTTTCTATCTATTGTTCTTAATCCACAATATAGGAGTTAGGATAGTTATTTTTTAGATGTGATCATTTGCCAGGATAAATGGCAGTTTTAGATTTTTCTATTGCTCACTTTAATGCAATCTGTAATGTCTCCCGGTATAGAAAACGGTTTTCTTTTAAATCTTTTACTGCAGCTGTGCTTTTCTGAAAATGTATTTTTTTGTACTTCTCAGCAGTACTTGTAACTTCTAAGCCATCTTTCTACTTTCTTTTTTTTCTCACCCCAATACCATTAATTAGATCCAGCGTATGATTCAGACTAGCCGGTTTCCAATCCTGGCCAATCATGAAGTCTGAAATCTGCCATTCCCTACTTTGCACGTTCATGCTTGTCTTCAAGCACTGTTTAATCCTACAACACCACCATAAACTCCTGCTGTTGTAACTTCAGACTGTTTAATCCTCTCTGACTGATATAAACCAAATAAAAGCTCTCAGTTAGTGACATATTCAACTTGGGATTTACTGCAATAGATGCCCAAACCTACAGATTTCAGTGCCCAAGATGTTAAAGATTTTGACAAGTATTTAAAGTGCTACAGGAAAAACAGAAAATTAAGATACACACCAGATATCTAAATGATAACCAATGATTCAACAACTTCATTTCTAATTTAAAGCACTCTCCTTAAAAGGGAAAAAAGGCCTTATTTAGTAATAAATGAGCCCACTTGGTCAGGTTTAAAAAAAAAAGAGGAAAAAAAGATGAGAATTTAAAAGAAGCGCTGCATAACCAGTGTGGAATATGTAACGTTTTTGTCCTTTGTTACAGTGCACTCATTTTTGGATGAGGGTTGAATGGTTTTTATTTTCATAAATATTAAAGTCCATCATCACAGGACTTTACTGACTCTGTCTGAAAAAGCTGCTTCGTTCTAATCACTTGCATAGATCTGAGTGCTAGCTGCAACTCTCTTCCCTTCGGACCTGTTGTGATTCTATAGTTAAATTCTATTCCCAGCCCGCTGGGAATTTATGTTTCTGATACTTTAAGATGTTTATTGCCCTCCCCTGTAGGGGTGGTAAAATATCTTATTTAATCAGATATTATTTCAGCTGTTATATACTGTTTATGACACACAGTCCTACTAACTGTGTGTTAGAACAATAAATGAAAGAGTGATTCGAGCACTAATCATGGTCAAACAGTTATTTCTGCACATACATGGAATAAATTCACCACAACTTCTGTTCAAAATATAAGATTTTATTAACAAAAATCATTCAGCTCCACGTCAAACATATTTCAGTTTAACACTCTCAACTAAGACTAGTAAAACTCAACTAAACTAAACTAACTACTATGTACAAAGAGGAAGGGGAAGACGGTTGAAAACCATATTACAGTTTAAGATGGATTCTGTGTTTGAAACCAAAGTTTATCTGGAAGAATTTGGGATGTGATCAAATTAGCTTTTCACTAATTTTAAGGACATTGGAATGTTTTCAGACCAATTCACAATGCAAATCCATGAGGTGAATAAAACATTATTTGGCCAAATAATGTTCTATTGAATGATTTGCTTAATCAAGAACCAATAACCTTTAGCTAAATGATTCTTTACCCTCTTTGAAATAGCTAGCAGCGAATAGACATCAGGATTCCACTAAATGACTCTTGGTAAGACTTGGTATTGGAAATGTAATGAGCATCTGAGGAACACATGAACACTAATGTTACATCAGTGTTTAAATCCTTAGTGAATAAAGCTTGTCTAAGCTTTAGCAACAGCTCAACACATATTCCTGTAGCATAGCGTAGCATGCAGTCCATTCTTTAGCATCAATTGTCTTTACTCCGCAGTAAACACACGATATGATTAGCATCATCAAAAGACACATTGCTTGTTCTGTCCCTAATCATGCCAGACCTGCAAACCTTTTTCCATGTCCGTTTGGAAAGCTTGAGTTTCATCCAGTTTTGCTGCTCTGCAGTCAGGGACTCATTGTCTCAGTCTCACAGCAGGGGTCCTCTCAGTCTCACACCAGGGCATGCTCCTCATCCAGTTTGGCTCTGTAAGTTCTGAAACTCATGAGAAATGTGTTGCAAAAGTTCTGTTTGCAGCAGTTAGGTTCTGAAGAGTTCTGACTCATCCTTGATGGTTCTGGGGATCTGGTTTCCCTGGGGCCTGCATCTCCACTGTGGGCCACAGTGGGCCCCAGCTTTGAGAGCAGGAGCAAAAGCAGGCTGGATCAGACGAGGGAGAAAAAGAAAAGGCAAAAGAGAAAGAATCCTGTGTGCTCTGTGGTTTTGTTCTGCCCTCACAGAGGGGGGTAGGTTTTCACACCTCTGTGACTTCCATGTGACTGCTTTGGCTGAAAAAGGGGGGCTGCTGAAGTCCCCCAGCTGTTATTCACCAAAGCTGCGTTTTCTTCTCTGGTCATCCTATCAGGATGAAATATGGACACTGGTTCCCACTGTCCAAAAAGTATGATCATGGCAAATGGCATAACATTCCCCCTTTTTGATCTGGAAATAAAAGATGCAGTTCTTTGTTTTCAGATCAACAAATAAGTCCATAAAGCCATGATATCTGGAGCGGTGATGAGTCAGGTTCCTGTTGGCAGGAAGAAAGTTCATTTAGGGTTCATATCTTCTCCAGTGTTTGTCCCTGGAGGATTTGTTGCAGGTCTGGCAGAAGCTGACCCTATCTTATCATAAAACAGTTCATTTTCTCCTGAGGTTTTGCGTCTGGTTGAAGCAGGTCTGGCAGGAAAGTCTGACCCTGATACACAAATATATACATTCCAAACAAAATTTCCTAACACCTTCATGATGCTGTTGTTCAACCTTCATCATTTCTCAAGTTGTGAAACAAAAGAAAGAAAGGATAAAACAGGTTAAAGTATGTTAGAAATTATCAGCAACTATCATACTCTTGGATATGATAAGTTTTACCATTAGCTTGGAATTGTGGTACCTTGTGATTGGTCAGAGAAGCCAGTAGCTCTGTAAGAACTGTTTTGCAGATCTGTTCTAAGTTTTCTTTTGTTGTTGTTTCTGTAGCTTGTTGATACCCCCCTTTACCAGTGTAAACCTTTGATTTTGCACTGTGATGTGAAGGTTTATGACCTTTATCTGGGGGTTCAGGTTTTCGTTCTTTCAAGTCATTAATTCCTTCATCTTGGTGAACCATTGGGGAAGTGAATCTGTGTCTGTTTCTGGTCCTGTTCTTTGTTTGAAGGTTAAAGACTCTAAGCTTGCTTTGGAATCTATCTGATTTGAGACTTATTTCCCAAACAAGCTGAGCATATCTGCGAGTTTCCTGCATAGAAAGGTTTTCTATCCTGCAATGCATTGCTACATCATATCGTACACTTTCATGAAGATTTTGGATGAACAATGCTTTAAATGTGTGATCTTCTTCGTCAATATCTGGAGAACTGCAGCCCTCAAAATAAACCTGTCTCAAGCGAAAGTAATATTCTCTGGGTGTTTCATGTTCTCCTTGGAGAACTAAAGATGCCTCAAGCGTTGCTAACGCCGGATCTCTGTAACCAGAATATTCTTCTCTTAAGGTTTGACAAAGAGCTGAATAACTTTCTCTGATTTTTGGAGGAAGAGATTTTATGAAAACATGGACGCTTCTAGCTGTTGTTTTCCAAATCAGCTTCAATTTCTCACGAGAAGAAGGAAATGGCAAGTCTTTTAGACAGTGCTCAACTTCTTGCAGATAATCAGCTATGTTGGAGTGTTGATTTTCTGGGTCAAAAATATCAATGTCTTTGGCCAAGAATTAAATTTGTTGAATTCTATGGTCACTCGGTGGACCTGGCCCGTCAGGAAGCTGGTTCTGCTCATTAAGTGGTGGGGGGTTTTCAGCTAACCTTTGATGACTCAAGGGAGACTGGTTCTCCTCAGAGTTTTTCAAGGTGTGAACTTTGGCACTTGATGCTCGGTCAGCAGAGTGTGAGACAGAGATTGGTTTGCATGGCTGTCCTTTGCAAAATTTTAAACCGCTTGAGTTTACCAAGTGATCTACTTGTTTCTCTCTGTCTGCGACACTACTTTGACTTTGAACATCTTCAGATCTATTTAGTGTTAACTCAGAGTTTAGAGACTTTGTATCTGCTTCAGGAGCTGTTCTCCTTTCGACTGGGGTGACCTCCTGCTGATTCAAAGTCTGCTTGCTTTGTTTATTGCATAGGTCCTCAGAGAGGGGGGTCACCTTTTGTTCTGAGGCATGGTCAGTCTGGCCACATGGGTCTTTGATCTTGTCAGCTCCTGACAATAAAATGTTTGCAGCACTTACTCTGTGGCAGATCATCTGATATTTGGCTTCTAACTCAGAGTACTGTTTAGCTTTTATTTGGGATTTAAGCTGATAAAGAAGCGTGAGCTCACAGAGTACATCTGTTATCAGAAAGTTTCCATTTGGGTTTTGAATTAAGTTAATTAATTCTTGAATCTTTTCTTCACATAGGCTGAGGTTAAAATTGTTTAGGTTATCCTGCTTTTCTGGAGATAAGTGGATAAGCTTTGCAACAATTTGTTTCTGTTTCTCTATGCCTATGGATTCAATAGTGCGCCCAGAATTGAGGATGCTTGGATCCATTTTCAGCTGATGGCACAAAAACACAAGTTATGAAGAAATTTCAAAAGAACACAATCCAGTCAGTACCCACTATACTTGTATATTTACATATACATATTGTAAGGACTTATTTTTATGTGTGTAGAAATGGGTCACGGGTTATCTTTAAACCTGTGATATCAAAGAAACACTTTTCTTTCAGTGTTAGAAATGCTACACCTTGTTTAGGATTTACCAGCTATTTTAGCGCATGCTTCACCTGTCTTTGAGGATTTATAAGCAGTTTGGCGCAAAGCTTACCTTTTAAGGACTTACAAGCAATTTTGCTTATGCTTCACCCTTTTCTGTGATATCAAAGAAACACTTTTCTTTCAGTGTTAAAAATGCTATACCTTGTTTTAGGATTTATTAGCTATTTTAGCGCATGCTTTACCTGTCTTGGAGGATTTATAAGCAGTTTGGCGCAAAGCTTACCTTTTTAAGGATTTACTAGCAAATTAGCTTATGATTCACCTTTCTTTAAGGGATTTTAAGCAATTTAATTTGAATCCACCCCCTTTCGGTTGGGTAGGATCACAGATTAACTTACGTTAAATCTGGCAACAAATCTTGTTCTACACAATATAAAATAAGTGTTTAGGAGTCTTATCAGACTAATAGACTAAGGGATTTAGGTTAAATTCCGAGGCATCTAACCTATTTTGGACTGGAGGTGACTTTGAAATAGCATAACTTGGGAGTTTTCATTTTTGGGATGTGGTTATAGAAACCACAAATGGCAGCATCTAGTTATAGATGTGCATAAATTTTGGTCGAACGATAAGATTAACTTGGGTGTTAAATCTTTTAGTTTTAGTTGGACCAAAGTGATCAGATTGATTTGAATCATCTGAGTTTTGCTTTGAAGTAAGGTTGGTTATCACTAGCTGAAGAGATATTTTGGAGTTATTAGATTTAGTTACATTTTCTATATTTTGATTCTCCAAGAATGTCAAAGGTTATATTTTCTTCTCATATAAGCTAAGACATTTAGTATTGGATTCTTAAGTTGTGAGTTTAAGATTTCATTATTGAGTGGTGAGAGCTGATGTTAATGCTTTCACACGGTTTTCAATAATGGCTCTAAGTTTATTCTCATATATGTGCAGAATGACTGTTATATTCGATGACCACCAAACTGAGACACCAATTAAATGTTACATTCAATGAGCCCAGTCGCATGGGATGCTAAATAAATGTTACAATTAATGGGCCCAGCAATCAGGGACGCCATATTTATGTTGTGATTCTATAGTTAAATTCTATTCCCAGCCCGCTGGGAATTTATGTTTCTGATACTTTAAGATGTTTATTGCCCTCCCCTGTAGGGGTGGTAAAATATCTTATTTAATCAGATATTATTTCAGCTGTTATATACTGTTTATGACACACAGTCCTACTAACTGTGTGTTAGAACAATAAATGAAAGAGTGATTCGAGCACTAATCATGGTCAAACAGTTATTTCTGCACATACATGGAATAAATTCACCACAACTTCTGTTCAAAATATAAGATTTTATTAACAAAAATCATTCAGCTCCACGTCAAACATATTTCAGTTTAACACTCTCAACTAAGACTAGTAAAACTCAACTAAACTAAACTAACTACTATGTACAAAGAGGAAGGGGAAGACGGTTGAAAACCATATTACAGTTTAAGATGGATTCTGTGTTTGAAACCAAAGTTTATCTGGAAGAATTTGGGATGTGATCAAATTAGCTTTTCACTAATTTTAAGGACATTGGAATGTTTTCAGACCAATTCACAATGCAAATCCATGAGGTGAATAAAACATTATTTGGCCAAATAATGTTCTATTGAATGATTTGCTTAATCAAGAACCAATAACCTTTAGCTAAATGATTCTTTACCCTCTTTGAAATAGCTAGCAGCGAATAGACATCAGGATTCCACTAAATGACTCTTGGTAAGACTTGGTATTGGAAATGTAATGAGCATCTGAGGAACACATGAACACTAATGTTACATCAGTGTTTAAATCCTTAGTGAATAAAGCTTGTCTAAGCTTTAGCAACAGCTCAACACATATTCCTGTAGCATAGCGTAGCATGCAGTCCATTCTTTAGCATCAATTGTCTTTACTCCGCAGTAAACACACGATATGATTAGCATCATCAAAAGACACATTGCTTGTTCTGTCCCTAATCATGCCAGACCTGCAAACCTTTTTCCATGTCCGTTTGGAAAGCTTGAGTTTCATCCAGTTTTGCTGCTCTGCAGTCAGGGACTCATTGTCTCAGTCTCACAGCAGGGGTCCTCTCAGTCTCACACCAGGGCATGCTCCTCATCCAGTTTGGCTCTGTAAGTTCTGAAACTCATGAGAAATGTGTTGCAAAAGTTCTGTTTGCAGCAGTTAGGTTCTGAAGAGTTCTGACTCATCCTTGATGGTTCTGGGGATCTGGTTTCCCTGGGGCCTGCATCTCCACTGTGGGCCACAGTGGGCCCCAGCTTTGAGAGCAGGAGCAAAAGCAGGCTGGATCAGACGAGGGAGAAAAAGAAAAGGCAAAAGAGAAAGAATCCTGTGTGCTCTGTGGTTTTGTTCTGCCCTCACAGAGGGGGGTAGGTTTTCACACCTCTGTGACTTCCATGTGACTGCTTTGGCTGAAAAAGGGGGGCTGCTGAAGTCCCCCAGCTGTTATTCACCAAAGCTGCGTTTTCTTCTCTGGTCATCCTATCAGGATGAAATATGGACACTGGTTCCCACTGTCCAAAAAGTATGATCATGGCAAATGGCATAACAGACCCAATTTAAGGGAATGTGGAAGTAAGTGTATTACTCATGTTAAATGTTGTTACTAAAACTGTGCACCCATGACATTTGAAAATTTGGCTTTGTTAAACCTCAATTTTATTATGAAATTTCATTGTCCAATTTCCAACATTACAGGGCATTATAAATAATAAACTTGTGACTCTACTGTCAGAAAACTGATGGGTCTTGTGGAAATATACTGACTCAAAATACTTCGGCAAATAAGCCCAGAAAAATGCCTCAGCTGATAAAAAAATCAACCTTCTTTTATGGCGAGCTCACCCCCCAGAACTAAATCTTACAGAAAACAAAGTGAACCAAGTGATGTCATGGTGGCTGAAGGTGTTGCCAATAATTACGGTATTAAATAGGCCTTAAAAGTGGGAGTGCTTTCCTGCTAAATAATCATACTCTAACAAAAGGCTTGGTTTTCTACTGCAATGAAAGATGCATTTGTTTTAAGGTGTTTGCACCCATCTTAACCCATGGTGCCGTTAGCTATGGGTGGTGCTGTAGATATGGGAGCAGGTTTTAAAGCCGATTTTCTTTCTCCTCCTCCTCTGACAGCGTGGTGATGACTGGTTCCTATAACAACTTTTTCCGGATGTTCGACCGCGGCCATCGACGGGACACGACGCTGGAGGCGTCCCGGGAAAACGGCAAGCCCCTGCAGGTCCTCAGGCCTCGTAAGGTGTGCACCGGCGGCAAGCGCAAGAAGGACGAAATCAGCGTGGACAGTTTGGACTTCAACAAGAAAATCTTACACACTGCCTGGCATCCACAGGACAACATCATCGCCGTGGCAACTACGAACAACCTCTACATATTCCAGGACAAAGTGAACTAACAGGATGGGACCGACATGAGAGCTTGGTTTTAATAACCTGCGGGTTGATTTAAGAGGATACGTGGTATTGCTGACTATTCACTTTGCTCTAGATCTGGACGGGTGACTGTCTCCCATCATCCGCCTGTCTGCTGCAGAAACGTCTGCCTTGTTGTTAGTCATGTGCCAACGTTTTTTTTCCTTTCGTCCTGTCTCTGCCTGCTGACCAACCCTCTACTTTTCAGAAGGGGGTAACTGTAACTTTAAAACTTTTCATTTTCATTTTTCTCCTTTGATTACCATCAATAATGGACCTCTAGGCACTCAGTTTCTTTATACAGCCAAACGGTTGCTCACAGCATTTTAAATTTTGTGCAACCTCAGATGTGACCCATGTCTGTTTTTGAGGGTCAGAACCATCTCAAAACTCGAAAAGACATTTCTTATTTACCCTTTAATATGAACCCCTCTGTGCGATTGTTCTTTGTTTTTGTGCAGCGACAGTCAGGAAATGGAGGCTATAAAAAGATATTATCATTCATATTATGATTGTAATATTTATATTAAAAAAAGTTTAAAATGTGTCCAGGTTTGTTCCGTCCCACTCTGTAAAACGATGCTGGACCTACAGCTTATTTTGAGCGATCTTAGGTTTCATGTCGCTGGTGTTTAACATCAAGGATTTGACACTGGACCCTTTGAGCACAGAACAAGTACTTTGGACATCTGTGATGTATAAATGCAGTTTAAAAAGATGTACATTATTTGAGGCACTGAATAACTTATTTTAACCACTGCAAACAATACCTGCAACAAGGACATTTAGGACAGGATGCCTCTAGTAATGAGTTATTCAATTTTACCCTGATGGTGACGGGCAAAGGAAAAATAAAGGAATTATTTTGCATCGTTTTGGTTGAGTGACTGTTGTTCTGCATTCATTTCACTGTGTGGTGCTTGATTTGTTTTTGTTTGTACAGTTTATTAAAAATGTATTAAAAGAAATTAGCAATCCAGCTAAAAAGGTGAAAGTTGACTTTATTACATGCTTTGATGTTAAAGTATATTTTTAGCTTTGATTATTGGTGCTTACAGCTTCACCAAAATTCGGTTTCACTGGAGATCATAACATGCCAGTTATACCAGTGGTTTTTATTTGCGTCAGGTAAAGAAGCACCAAGTAATGTCATTAAAGAAGCTGATTAAGAAAAGAGGTGTACCCAAGCATAATAAGTTTTGTGGAAGGAAAACATGTAGTAGATAAAGGCACTGCATACTTAGAAATATATTAACCTGTTGTGATACTGGGGTTGGTAAAGATTAATTTATTAGTGGCCTTTAGCTAGGCTGTGCCGCTGGCACTAGTGTTTCAGATATCCATGTTGTGTATTATCTTTGTGTACATTTTTTCCTTCCACTTAACTTTCCATTAACTTGCTTGGCTATGAATCTGAACAGTCATTTTAACAATTACCTTTGTGGCTTTTAAATTAGAGTATATGTCAGCATTAAAGATCCTATTTTTATTGTAAGGAAAATTCTGTCAGGGACTAGATGTTTTCCCACAGGTTATAGGACATACTAGTCAGCTTGAAACAAGTTTCTAAAATACACATTTTATTTTAAATTACCTGTAAATAAACACTTTTAAATGTTTCACATTTTAAAGTCTTCATGTATACAATATACATCACTGAGAACAACTTTTTAGGTTTTAATATAGTAGCCTAATGTAACAGGATTCCTCAAAGTCATCATGGAAAGTTGTTGTACTGGAAGCAGTGGAGGATTAAAGCTACTCCAGTGGGGGTCGGTTAAAGAAATTTGTGAGTAAGCACTCACAAGATTAGAGTCCTGACTGTGTACGTGGGGGCATGCATGTCTCCACCTCCTTAAGCAAGCTTTGATGTCATGTTTATATTTTTCAAGCTAATAGGTAGCTGTGTATGGAAAGACATTATAACATTAATCAACAACGTATAATTTATAGATATATATACATATAAAGATTATTTGGTAAAGGAGATGAAAGTGAAACTACAGTATGGCAAGTAAACTTGTCATATAAAAGTAATTATAAAATTGATAGAAATGTAGATAATCTAAGAATGCTAGTAATCCAGAACATTGTGCCCCAGATATGAAACTCTTTGAAGATCATTTTTGATGTGTTGCTTGCAATCTTTATTCAACTTATTTGCATTAAGAGCTATATTAGAGATGTCTTGAATTGTGTCAAACCTCTGAGATTTTAAGATCTTACTTGGCCAAAGGTGTGTTTTAGGAGTTATATGTTTGATAACATACATGAGGTGATCCTTAAAATTTGGGCTTTGTTAAACCTCAATTATACTACAAAATGGCATTGCCCCGATTTTCAACATTATACGACATTTTAAATAATAATATTGTGACCCTAGTGTCAGAAAACTGATGAGTCTTGTGGTAGTTCACTGGCTCATTTGGTCAAATAAACTCAGCAAAATGCTTCAGCAGATACAAAATTTACATTCTTTCATGTTAACCAAGGGATGTCATGTTGGCTGAAGGTGTTGCCAATAATTACGATATTAAATAGGCCTTAAAGGTGGGTGTGCTTTCCCACTAAATAATCATACTCTAACAAAAGGGTTGATTTTCTACGGAGCCCCTAAAGGGACATGGAGGGAAAAAATAAACTTTTGTGAGATCTCGCAAAAAATAAACTTTTGCGAGATCCTGCAATACTTTTGCGAGATCTCGCAAAACTATTGCGGAATCTTGCAAAGGTTCTTTTTTCCCCCTCCATGTCCCTTTAGGGGCTCCGTAATTTTCTACTGCAGTGAAAGATGCATTTGTTTTAGGTGTTTGTATGTATGTACCAAGGCTCCATCCTTAGACTCTTTGATTCAGTAACTATTATGTCATATCACAGAATTACCATAGCTATGCTGATTACTCTCAACTTTGTATTACTTTAATCCCCACATGACCAAAATCACTGAGTGTGTATTTGAAAAATATCCATGAGTTCATGGTTCAGATTTTCTTTGTTTGAAACCAATGTCATTGTCTTTCTGTTTGCTAAAACATATTTAAAGTCTTCATTCAACACTATTTTGCCGAAATCCACACAACATGCAAGAAAAGCATTCTGTTATAATGCACATAAACACTATTAATGAGTCAGTATAGCACTTTTTAACAGTTACAGAATATACCATTTTACTGTATCATAGGTCTAGTGGGATGGGTACTTTTTGGTTTTAAACAGGTGATATATTTGTTATTGATATTGACAACTGAAAAAAAGTAAGAGCAAAACCCTTTTAAATGTGCTGCTTCTACAACTAACTTTTTACTTTAGTCTGGCTAATTTATAGATAGAGCCAGAGTTGGGTAGAGATCACAGATATATTACTCAATTAGGAGTAAAAAATACTTGTTAAAATCACTACTCAAATACTGAGTCAATGATATGGAGTTATGTGCAAATTCTGCTATCTCAAGTATTAAAGAAAATAAAAATAAATAACATGATAAAAAATACACTATATTGCCAAAAGTATTTGCTCACCTGCCTTGACTCACATATGAGCTTAAGTGACATCCCGTTCCTAATCCATAGGGTTCAATATGACGTCGGTCCACCCTTTGCAGCTAGAACAGCTTCAACTCTTCTGGGAAGGCTGTCCACAAGGTTTAGGAGTGTGTTTATGGGAATTTTTGACCATTCTTCCAGAAGCGCATTTGTGAGGTCGCACACTGATGTTGGACGAGAAGGCCTGGCTCTCAGTCTCCGCTCTAATTCATCCCAAAGGTGTTCTATCGGGTTGAGGTCAGGACTCTGTGCAGGCCAGTCAAGTTCATCCACACCAGACTCTGTCATCCATGTCTTTATGGACCTTGCTTTGTGCACTGGTGCACAGTCATGTTGGAAGAGGAAGGGGCCAGCTCCAAACTGTTCCCACAAAGTTGGGAGCATGGAATTGTCCAAAATGTCTTGGTATGCTGAAGCATTCAGAGTTCCTTTCCTTGGAACTAAGGGGCCAAGCCCAGCTCCTGAAAAACAACCCCACACCATAATCCCCCCTTCACCAAACTTTACACTTGGCACAATGCAGTCAGACAAGTACCGTTCTCCTGGCAACCGCCAAACCCAGACCCGTCCATCAGATTGCCAGATGGAGAAGCGCGATTCGTCACTCCAGAGAACGCGTCTCCACTGCTCTAGAGTCCAGTGGCGGCGTGCTTTACACCACCGCATCCGACGCTTTGCATTGCACTTGGTGATGTATGGCTTGGATGCAGCTGCTCGACCATGGAAACCCATTCCATGAAGCTCTCTGCGCACTGTTCTTGAGCTAATCTGAAGGCCACATGAAGTTTGGAGGTCTGTAGTGATTGACTCTGCAGAAAGTTGGCGACCTCTTCGCACTATGCGCTTCAGCATCCGCTGACCCCGCTCCGTCAGTTTACGTGGCCTACCACTTCGTGGCTGAGTTGCTGTCGTTCCCAAACACTTCCATTTTCTTATAATACAGCTGACAGTTGACTGTGGAATATTTAGGAGCGAGGAAATTTCACGACTGGATTTGTTGCACAGGTGGCATCCTATCACAGTTCCACGCTGGAATTCACTGAGCTCCTGAGAGCGACCCATTCTTTCACAAATGTTTGTAAAAACAGTCTGCATGCCTAGGTGCTTGAATTTATACACCTGTGGCCATGGAAGTGATTGGAACACCTGATTCCAATAATTTGGATGGGTGAGCAAATACTTTTGGCAATATAGTGTATATTCTGGCAGAGCAATATTTTTCCAATTCTATTTTTTTATGTATTTTCCTCAAGTAAGAGTAGAGTTACTCTGACAAAGGTTTAACTTAAATAAAAGTACAAAGTACAGTAAAGTACAACAGCTCCAAAAAGTTTTTTTTCTTTTTTTTTTAATAAAATCTACTCAAATAAATGTAACTGAGTAATTATAATTAGTTCGTACTCTCTTCTGTTTATAGCTATAAAATGGTAAGTCGGCTAACCATTCCCTTGTTTTCATAATATCCTTAACAAGTTTTTTGTAACTCGTTACGTAATCTGACTCCGTACCCACCCCAGTTGTATCAAACATACGGTGGTACGTCTCCCAAAAGCCCCGCCTCTGAAGATGTTTGATTGGCTGTCGTCTGCTGCTTACTGTAGGCCAGCTAACCCTACGAAAACAAACGGGTTGAGCGGCGCCTTGGGTTGGCGTGTCAGTTTTTCATTCTGTCGTCCAGGGCTGAAAACACCTCGGCTTGGTTATATTAAAGTTCATCTGAATGTGTAGAGAGAGGGATAGCTTCTGCTGCTAAAGCAACCTCCCCCCTTACTGGGAACCACAATGTCCGAAGCGGCTAACGTTACCTCAACAGACAATAACGGAGAGTCGGGGCTTAACGGTAAGCTAACTGCTGCTAACCAGATGCCCTGAATTACCCCTACGGATTTTATGTTATTTCCTATTTCAACGTGAATAAGTATGTATCTATTTATAAAAAAAATCTAAATTAGTCGGGCTGCATCAACAGTGCTTTATTTGCACATTTTCAAGCGAAGCTTCACCGAAAGGGGAGGGGCTTGAACATTATGTCCAGTTTGTTTATTGACAGCGGATGGACCAATGGTGTTTCAGTTTATATATGAGTGACGGGAAAAATAGCCAATCGGTGGGGTTGTCTCTAAAGGTGGAGGCAGGCTAGAGTCTAGTCAACAAGCCTGGAGAATGTCCAGTTCTGTAAAGTCGAGGCTTTTAATAGTTGATTTATCGAGATATAACAATGGTTTATATATATATATATATATATATATATATATATATATATATATATATATATATATATATACATATATATATATATATATAATGTCATGTTTACATGGCAGTAAACAATGGCATGTTTACTGGCTGCTCTGACTCGTAGTGGGGCCCACCCTATATAGGGACATGGCACAGCGACATGGGACAATTTTTAGATTATGCAAAATATTGAGGAAGTATAATGGGTCTTGTGGTTTTTTGTCAATAGGGATAGGGTAATCCAGAGCTAATAAACATATCTGAATGCAATCAAGAATTTTTCATATTCTTGAACCTTGGAACCTTTTTTGTGATGTTATGATAAAGTTGAATGTGTTTTATTTGGAGTTTATGTGACCAGAACATAGTAGGACATCAGTGCAAAAAGGAAGGAAGAGATAAATGGATTGCAAAATATGCAGACATCACCAGCTTGAAGACACTGAAGTATGCATGTGGGGCCCTTTGGCAATTAAAACACACCAAAACCAATACCAAAAACACCAGACGTGAACAGACATATAGACTTAGAGAGATTTTATTATGTGCACACAAGTGTAAACAAAAGAAATTGCGTTAAGTACAGCTCTCTAGACTATTTAATTTTTTTTAAGTGCAGCCTTGATAATGGTTAGCACCAGTGATAAAAACATTGAGATGAAAAAAGTGATGTACACATATCAGTTACAGTTCAAACATTCAGTTTTTTTTTTTTTTGATTACATGATTACTGGCGTTCTTTCTCTCAAACACCTTGTTTTACAATTCACAAAGTAACCATGGTGGCAAATAGACTAAAGCGGCCTAGACATTGTTTAAGAAATGACACAACTCTTTGTACACAAGTATACATGAAATCACACTTGAAAGTTTTCCACTCCAGGACCATTATCAGTATCAGTTTGGACGCAACTCTTGACACAAAAATCTATCTTTGTACATATACCTAAGTGTCAGTCAATTAGTTCTGAAGTTACTCAGTTTGAAATACACAAATACATCTTTGTGCAATGTTACCCTGAATAGACCCTCTCTATGGTAAAACATGATTACTGCCATGCTTTCTCTTAAACACCTTCTTTTAGAGTTGTGTCAAATTACACCAGAGTTAAACTTTTTTAGGTATTTAAAAAAGGCTATTGCAAAAAATTATTACTGCGCATAACCAAGTATGGTGGTGGCATTGTCACAGCTGGTTAGGGTGTAGCTAAATCAAGAGTAATAATGGATCAGAACCTGCTAGACACTACCAAAGATTTTATACAGAGCTGGTAGCTTTTCTTCTTCAGGGACAGTGATCATAACTGTTCTTCCATATCTACAATAGATAGCTTAAACCAAAGTGGATTATGTGTTAGACAGCTCGGTCAACACACTTTATAATAAAATATGTGGAAAAACTAGCAAATTGATGTTTGGAGACACTTTCCATCCAATCTCAATGAGCTATTTTGGAAAGCTATTTGTGTCCAGTTTTATACCTCTTATACCTACTAGAGATTCACTGATAAAGGTTCCTTAAAGTTGTAGGGAAGTCATACTTAAATGTCATATAATTCTGGCTTAAACGTGTATATAAAAAAACTCTTTATCAGAGTTTTGTCCTAAAATTTAGAAAATTTCTTTAAAAAAAAAAATCTGTCTTATAATCTGTGTATTTTTTTTTGGTATTTTATGTAGGCCAGTTAGTTATAGCCTCAGCCTGTACGCCTTAATTTGGCCAATCATATATCAACCGTCATCTGTCAATCAAATTTTTTCGGTCATAGCATCTTGATTCATGTGTCGCAGCTAGAGCAGGCGTAGAGCTAACAGAACTTGCAGCGTTGCGAGGCAAGGGCTCAAACATGTACGGCTGTAAGCCTTCTACACCAAACCAAGCTTCTGCCGCCCTGGCGTCCTCTTCCACAACATCTTCGTCACCGCTTTCCTCCTTCAAATAAAAAAATGTATGACAGAGGAGACTCATCCATGACCTCTGAAACAAAACTCTCCTCCTCTTGCTGCCTGGAGGCAGTCGTGGGTGAGCGGTTAGGGTGTCAGACTTGGATCCCAAAGGTTACCGGTTCGACTCCCGACCCGCCAGGTTGGTGGGGGGAGTAATTAACCAGCGCTCTCCCCCATCCTCCTCCATGACTGAGGTACCCTGAGCATGGTACCGTCCTGCCACACTGCTCCCTTGGGGCGCCATTGAAGGCTGCCCCCTTGCACGGGTGAGGCATAAATGCAATTTCATGGTGTGCAGTGTTCACTTGTGTGCGCTGTGTCACAATGACAATGGGAGTTGGAGGAGTTTCCCAAAGGGCTTTCACTTTGTTTCCGCTGTCCATAGCGTTCCTTGACAGTGTCGTTTCTAAGTCGCAAATTTAGTGCTACTTGGTCCCAATGGAATTTCCCATTGGGAACCTACTAGCACTAAGTTGCTAACTGGTTAGCAAAATGCTTTAGAGACACCGGCCACAATCAAACATGCTTGCGGACCTTCCACCACAACAATCCCGCCCTTCTGATAAATGACCAATCATATTCACTTTATTCACTAAAGTCGTGTACCACTCGGGAGAATTCGGAAATGCTACGGTTGGAACAATCGTTTCCCTACGACTTTAAGTCGTGTACTATATAATTTGACAGCAGTTTAACTGATATGCTCTATAGATTTATTTTATCCATTTTTTTTAAATTATTTCTTCTGGGGGAGGGGTGCAGTTTCTGGGGCCGGGGTTGCTTTATCTTCCTCTTTTTAGATTATAACAATGAACTAACTAGATCAAATGTAACATTAATGTCAATTGAAGGAATAATCAACATGTTTTTACAAATCAACAGAACGGTAACAATGAGTAGCGAATAGAGGGAGCAGTAATGCATGCGCTTAATCTGATTTTAAAGCATAGCTGTGGAAAGCACTGATGAATCTGCGAATACATGCACATATCGGTCGATCTAAGAAAAAAAAGACTATTGGTTCCAGGCAATGTATCCGCTCTTTCTGATACTTGCAATGTTTCAGACTCAGAGGGGCTGAATACAACACAAGTCATTGTTAGATTTTGTAAAAAATGTACAAAAATATCATTGAAATTTTCCTTTAGAGAACGAATAACCACTTTTATTAGTCTTTCACATAAAACTGCACAAAGGTTTGAGGTTTTAAAGGGATGACATATGAATACGTTCAAAGGGTATGGATATTTTTTGAAGGCACCTTGGTTCACACGCTTCCTGTCCTTTATTTTGGACCAACATGTTCTGTTATTTTAGAAAAAACTTCTATCTTCCCCTTTGGTCCAGTTTCTGGTCCTGGGAGAGAGAGGGATCACATCATGTCTCTGAACCCGTCCAGCAGCTGATATTGTCTGTCGGCCAGAATGTTCAGATTCAGGGGCGCCATGGTAACGTGGTTTTAGCCCTCCGAGCAAACACAATGGCCCCTGGTCTGCTGTGTAATCCACTGGATAACCACGATTGCTGACTTGATGAGTAGCTTCGCCGTTTCTTTCATATATCCTGTTTATGATGTTTACTTATTTTATGTGACCTGTTAAGGAAATATTTTGTAACTATGTGGTGAAGAAGATTTTTAGCCATCCCCCTCCTTCTCCTCCACCTCCTCCTCCTCTATATTTGTAACGTTACTCTGCCGGGCTGTGCCTTCTCGGCTGCCAGTCCATGCTGGAGCTCACGTACCAGCCGGTGGGAGCGTTGTATCCCCTAGCCAATAGCTGCTTATACAGAACTGTTTACTGCCAGCTCATCACACTGCAATAAATAGAACCCTGTCAGTGTCTGACTGTTTGACTTGTTGATTTTGTTTCAGCTCAGGAACAAGAAACGTCTTTCTGTATTTTTCATCCTTTGACCTCATACATAAAAATACGAAAGAAAAAAAAATTTTTTCCCCTAAGATGCCTTATTGAAACCCACTTTTTTACTAAGAATGAGTTATTTTTTGGATTAGTGACAAAAATATAGAGTTTCAACTTTCTGCTGAATTTAGAGTGAAACAGTCCTGCTCCTTGGAGAGTACTTCTCTTTTTCCTAAGCAGGATGTTGACTTATTGGTTTATTGACTCAAGTATCTCGGCTCAAATCTTATCAGAGCTCCCACAGTCTTCGTGTCCCACCATCTTTAAACTCACCTACCTACAAGAAGCATGTGCAATTTTTAAAATTTTCATACTGGGAGGGGGATCTATATTCACTTGAAGCTGCCACATCACACACTTACTCTGGAAAACCTTCTTGAGATCGACCCATATCTTAAACAAATAAAGATGAATGTCAATAAAAACACAGGATGTTTTGGTGATTACCTCAGCTTGTTTTTTCGTCAGAGGAATTTAATAATTACACTTTTAATCTGGATCGTGCTGACATTTTTCTGTTGTTTATATAACATGACAATAGAACCGTGACATATAAGTGGTCCCTGCTTGGACTCTGGATGTGATTTATCCTGGCTTAACCTTCTAAAGCGGTGAAGAATGTCAGGATAGATCTTCTTATTTGGAGTTGTTGGTTTTCTAAACCAGTACGTGTCAGTAGTCACACAGTGCCTCTCTCTGCCACCTTATTTTATTCAAAGTGCACATTACAATGATAAAAGTTAAACAGGGCTAAGGAAGGATTACATTGCCCTTTTGGTTTCTCCACGTAGGGTCCTGGGTAGAGTTGGGGATGAACAGAAATCCTCAGGCCCAGTCCTCGTCCACGCCTGGGCCAAGTCTGCTGCCTCTCACTCAGGTGGAGGAAGAGGAGGCCATAGTGGGGGGGTTGGAGCACGTCCCATCGTCCTCATCAATCCACAACGGAGACATGGAGAAGATCCTACTGGACGCCCAACACGAGTCGAGCCGCAGCAACTCTTCTTGTGACAGGTACCAGGAGAAGACAGTGAAATTCAGTTTGAAGCTTTCAGACTTAAAGGAATAGTACACCCAAAACATGATTAGCCTTCATTTTCTACTCACCCCCATGCTGAACAACACTCTGGAGTACTTTTTTGATATCTCAAATGCATCTGGAGATCTGGGAGGCTTCTTGCTGTCTGCTGACATTCAAATAATGGAGGTCTATGGTGCCCGAGGCAGAAAGGTCCATAAAAGTCCACAAAAAACGTGTCAATATTCCTCCATACTGCTCGTCCAATGTATTCCAAGTGTCCTGAGTGGGTAGCATCCAGAATTTACTCGAAACGAAGTCATTTAGAATGTTTTTAGAGCATAAACAGTAGTGTATAGGATTTCCTAAAAGCGCGTTCACGAGTCTACGGAAACCGCGGCAGACCAAACCAGCGCATTCAGCTCGGCAAAGAACTCATGCTCTTCCTCAACACTGAAGTCCTCAGACATTTTTCTTTCGTTGTTTCTTTCTTTGCACAGGTAAACAGCACATTTCTTCTTCTACGCTTGCATTATCGGCAGAGCAGACGCTGAATGCGCACTTTCATCTGGTTTGTTCTGCCGGTTTCCGTAGCGTCGTGAACGCGCAGGCGCACGCTTTCAGGAAATCCTATACACTACTGTTTATGCTCTAAAAACATTCTAAATGACTTTGTTTCAAGTAAATTCTGGATGCTACCCACTCAGGACACTTGGAATACATTGGACGAGCAGTATGGAGGAATATTGACACGTTTTTTGTGGACTTTTATGGACCTTTCTGCCTCGGGCACCATAGACCTCCATTATTTGAATGTCAGCAGACAGCAAGAAGCCTCCCAGATCTCCAGATGCATTTGAGATATCAAAAAAGTACTCCAGAGTGTTGTTCAGCATGGGGGTGAGTAGAAAATGAAGGCTAATCATGTTTTGGGTGTACTATTCCTTTAAGATCCAAACTTTTCAATATTAGACCATCAGTGTTCCAGATTTGTTTAATAATCCATAAATGTCTTAAGAAGTTCTGATAAAAAAAAAATCGAATTTCAAGATCTGCATCAGCCAGTCAGTTTTGATTCATCCTTCTTTTGTCGGTCCATACATACACGCTTTGGCAGTTGATCTTTCTTACATATTTAAAGGGTGGGAAAGTGGAAATATCTAGAACTCTATGTGATTTTGTATGTTACCTAAAAACTTTAAATGTTGGCTGTAACTCCAAAGTGACAAAACTGGCACGGTTTCCTTTATACGGGCTCTTTATTAAATGCCGTGAAAACTACAGAAATAGAAGACAAAGTTTTAGATATCGATACATTTACAGAAAATCAGGTGACACTGGCTTTAACAGAAGTTACTTCATGACCGGCTGCCACTTCAGAGGTCTTTAACAGTTTAATTCTTCCTCGTCCACTCTAAATGAAAATATTAAGTAATTAAAACACCATAACCAATAACATTGCAAAATATTACAAACATAACTACAAATACCTTAACAGCTACAGTAAACACAAGGCTGCTCCACATGGTTCTGATCCAAGCTTCTGCTCCTTCTGTGTTTGTTCAAGTCGCGTTGCTTTTCACATATACACAAATCTCGTGATAACTTTCAACAAAAAATAGCTCAACACAAAAAAACAATGCAATAATTTTACACATTCCCAAAACGTGAACCAAACAACATAAAATACATTGTCTTAACTATTAGAAATAAACATACATTTTTCCAAGAAATAAATTATTTCACTGACACCTACATTGGCTGTAAAATTAGGAAAAATTGACTTAGAAAATTTAAAGAATCAAATTAATTCATATTCTCCAGCCGGATGTTTTTTTTTTGTCTTCATTCTGCATAAATCAGTAAAAGATTTTCTGTCATTTTGAAAATAAGTGAAATATTGAAGTGCTTGTTCACTAAGTAACCCATTAATAGGAAATAGATCCTGATGTATTGAAATCAGAGCAGACGCTTCCTTTAGTCGTGTTTTTTGGTTCTAAAACAAACAAGAAGTTGTCTGCCACGGCTTTGCTCATTATTTCATTTAATACTTTCAAAATATCTGACCCTTCATCCTGTGGCCACATCATGTGCTGGTGTGTAACTGTGATAAAGTGGACCTTATCAGCAAGCTGGACTTTCAGCTACCAGTGAGTCATCTTTAGGATGTTTTTAAGCTAAGAACATTCAATCAACAACGTGCTTTCACATGGTACAGTCCGAAAAGTTTTCTGTACAAGATTCACATAGAACTCAAAAGCTATGGACGGGAACATTTTATAATGAACCCAGTCCTATGAAGGTATACAGGCAACATTTATTTTGTTAAATTTTTTTTTAGTAGATATACACTGCAAACCAAATTAAATTATTTGACTTTTTTATCCATTTATTTGTAATGTTATCTCCCAGTAATGTTAAGCTGAAAGTATGTGGCTTGATTAAAACTGAGCTGGATGCATGTGAGCCTACCTACTGTAGGTTGCCGTGGCAACAAAACTCATTTGGGCTCACCTGGATACTGAGATTACCATGGTAACGGAACTTAATGCATTTAAACCCACCCAGAACACCATGGTGTAATTTGATATTTAGTTCAACTGAAAAAAGCCAAACAGAAATTAAAGGCTGGTCTGACTCATGTTATACTGGCAAAGATGTTGAAATTTTTTTTTCTTTGTCTAATAATCCCCAAAGGTTCTGGAGGATTTCGGCTGGCCTTCTTCATTGGCTTGTTGAGCTATTTTAAATCATTTGCTTTGTTGCTTTTATCCCCCAGCAGATGTTGGAGGAAGAGATCAAACTCTCCACAAAAGACTGATAGAAGATGTGTAGCATTTTGCTGCAAAATGGAAGTCCAGTCTGCTCTGTCCTTTCTTGTAGAAGGCCTATAGTCACGTCTCCAGTCCAGTCTGTAATCCAGCTGAACTCTGAGGGATTTATACTCCTCTACCACCTTCACCCCTTCTCCAATGATAACAGTGTTTGGCCTGTTCCTGCTTCTACAACTATGATCATATTCATAGTTTTATTCAAATTCAGCATTAGTTGATTGTTTCTACACCAGGCTACAAAGTGGTTCACCATATCCCTGCACTCAGCTTCTTGTCCAACTCTGATGCTTTCAACGACATTAGAGTGATCCAAGTATTTCTGTAAATTACAAGAGTCTGTCATGTATTGGAAATCTAAGGTGTAGAGAGTCACATCAAACAGAGAGTAATGTCACCTGTGGTTCTGCAAGTTTGACTCAATTCAGTCTAACAAACTGTGATCTGTTTCAGATCCAGGCAATTGTTGATGCTTTCATCTGAGTTTTGTGGAGTTTCTGACAAAGTAAATTAGGCTGATTGTGTTAAACAAACATTTGATACTGAAAAACATTATTTATTGATGTAAGAAAATGTATTATGTAATGAGCAATACATTCAGAAGGGATCTCAGTTTTGCATTTAGATTTTGATTAACTGCATTTTAATTGCAAGATTCACTAAATACTGATATAGTGGAACTGAAATTAATATTAATTCAATTCAGTTTATAGCGACTGTAGCGCCAATTCACAACACATGTCATCTCAAGGCAGTTTACACTTCAACAGATCATACAGTTAAATTGATTCAAAGTTTTCTATCTTAGAAAAAAACAGTTGATTGCATCGACTCATTGACTTTAATGTAATCCATCACACTTAGCATGCTTGTAGCGACAGTAGAGAGGAAAAACTCCCTTTTAACAAGAAGAAACCTCCAGCAGAATCAGGATCAGTGTGAACGGCCATCTGCTGAGGCCGACTGGGGTTCAAGGAGACAGAAACAGAGATACAAAAGGCAACTGTAAAAGGCGGCCCCATTCAGGAAACACACAGCCAGGCAGACGAGCTCTGAGCCAGCTCCCATGTGAGAGGATGAAGAGAGCACATCCAGCCAATCACAGTCAGAGAAACAGGACCACACTGAAAAACAGGCCGATCTCCAACATCTGTAAAGAAAGGTGTTAATGGCAGCTAGGGCTGCAACAACGAATCGATAAAATCGATAAAAATCGACTTTTAAAAGCGTTGGCAACGAATTTAATCATCGATTAGTTGTGTCGCGCGATTAATGCGTCATCCGCCGCCGCCGTCATCCCGGGGAAGAAAAAAAATATGGCGGAGCGAGTCAGCGCCGCAGTTGCAGTGTTGACAACTCAGCGACTTTTCAGACCCCTCCAGCGACTATTTTTTAAAAAAGCGACTAGCGACAAATCTGGCGACTTTTTACGGTGTCACTGGCGGCTTTTGGAGACTCTTACGTGAAAGCATGTATCGTTCCTACTCTTGTCCTCCAGCGGCAGCTGCTGCCGTGGGGCGCCTCCCCCATCCCAACGCCTTTCTCCCTCTCCCACAGAATCCCTCTCAGCGCTGCAGTCCGAGCCGCAGGATTTTAGTGAGGAGTTTACCCTCAGCGTCCAGACTGCAAATGAAGCGCGCATGCCCCGGGATTGACGGCGCAAATTGATCACAATAATTAAAATAGCCTGCGCTTTGTAAAGTGAAAAAAGTCGTAACATGCAACTTTTGTAAAAACAAATGAACATGGCACGGAAGCACCACTGTTATGACGCAGCACCTGAAAAGAAAACACGTTGGAGCCTTCAATGGCAGTGAAGAGAGCTGATCAGCAGGATGTGTAACCATGTTTGTTTCATTTTAAAGTGCGGAAACGTAACGTTAGTTTCTCAGGTAGCTCATCTGATGCTTTCCTTACCGTGTTAGTAGGTTACAGACAGTGATAAGGTTGGCTACTTATTTTACTTTTAATTTCATTTGAATTAGCTTAAGCAGCGTTTACATTTTCTTTATAAATAAATTAATTTGCAAATTATGAGGGCAAGGCTTTTAAAGTTTAAATCTTCTGGCAAAGATAAAGTAAAGAAGATCCTGCAATTTATGGAAGTAAAGCAGAATAAAATCCAGCAAGATCAGTAATATGTCAATTAATTATATGCCACATTCCCATGTAAATATCTGTCTTTGGAGGATGTGTTTTTTTTAACACCCCTAGTTCTCTCATTTTTATTCCAAATACAATTTATAATTTGAATCACAGGGCTATTTTTATCTCTATGGTTCAGTATTTTCTCAAGTAGCAACTTTAACTGCTATACTTTACTGTCTTAAAAGGCAGAACTCTTCTAGTCTAAAAAAACCTCATTTGTTGAAATGGGGGGACCTATTGTTTGAACCCCTTAGGGGCTTTAAAAAACAAAAATGCCTGTCTCTTTTTGCGCTTTATGAAACAAAGTACCCTATATTTTGTGGATGTACAGCTACATTTCTCATGTAAGTTTGCGTAGTTTTAACACAAACATTTATTTTTCATATAGCACCAGTACAGTTAATGAGCAACCTGTACTTGTGTGCTTGTTTGTTCTGTCTAAAATGTTTATTTTGGAATAAAGAGGTTAATATAAAAAAAATATTTTGTGTCCGATTCATCGATTAATCGAAAAAATAATCGACCGATTCATCGATTTTCAAAATAATAGTTAGTTGCAGCCCTAATGGCAGCAGCACAGCTGATATTTCAGTTGAAAGCCAACACTCCATAGTTTTAGCTATGGAGTTATTACTATTCCATAGTATTAACTGCATCGTTTTTCTTCCCAGACCTCTAAAAAAGTTAAATAAAATATGCTTTTTTTATGTTTCTGTGTTTTTATGTTTAGTCACAAACTTTATCCACATTTAGGATCATTGTTTCTGGTTTTTGTTGCTTTTCAATACACAGCCCCCCAAGGCCCCACTCCCCCCAGGAGGAGGGACAGATCATATTCGACGTGGACATGACCAGCAGAAGAGACAGTCAGGTCAGAGCTCTAGGGGTATTCCATTGCTCTAAACGGCCTAAATGGCCTGCATATAGTTTCCATAGAAACATCAGTCAAACAGACAATTTCTTTATTTAAATGTTATCTCATTATTTGTGCTACTTCTCTTACCACCAATAAAGGGATAGTTCGGGATTTTTGACATGAATCTGTATGGCATCCCCATCACCAGTGTCATGCAATCACACTGACTTACCCCTGGCAGCATCCTGTGAGCAGAGTTCTCGTCCAGTTTTGGTCAAGCCGAAAGTAGTCCGGCAGGTTTGCTAGACCCAGCGAAATAAAACGTTTCTCTTTCCAAAACATTATGTGTTCAAAAGAGCGATATTTTTGCATCCCAAAAACATTGTAGTGGAAAAAGTCACACGTCGTTATCACTTGGTCCTATTTTCTCTCTGTTCGTATCAGTGCGCGCGACACCATGACCTGACAGCTAGGGCCTACTAACCTGACAACAGCCAGATGCATGTCTCGCTCCGCCTAGCTCCTAGCTAGGCGGAGCGAGACATGCATCTGGCTGTTGTTGAGCTCGCTGTCAGAATGACGGCGCGCACTGATACGAACAGAGAGAAAATAGGACCAAGTGATAACGACGCGTGACTTTTTCCACTACAATGTTTTTGGGATGCAAAAATATCGCTCTTTTGAACACATAATGTTTTGGAAAGAGAAACGTTTTATTTCGCTGGGTCTAGCAAACCTGCCGGACTACTTTCGGCTTGACCAAAACTCGACGAGAACTCTGCTCACAGGATGCTGCCAGGGGTAAGTCAGTGTGATTGCATGACACTGGTGATGGGGATGCCATACAGATTCATGTCAAAAATCCCGAACTATCCCTTTAAAGTCCAATCTTGTGTTTCGTGTTAAAAGTTAGAGCGAGCCAACAGAACATGCGTATGAAGAAATTCATAATATATTCTGTTTGTGGTGTTCATAGAATAACACACGTCTTTGCCTCCTCAGTCTGAAGAGGATGTCTTGGACAAAGACAGGGACAGGGACAGGGACATGGACATCCTGATGAAGGATGCAGACTGGGTTGCCGACTGGTCCAGTCGACCGGAAAACATTCCCCCCAAGTGAGTAGCTCTTCAAACACACATTCCCCCTGTTCCCGTGGCAACCTGGTTTGGTTTCATGTTTGTGTAGAGGAAATGGTCAGTCATTATACAGATCAGCAAAAAATGAATCTGTCAGCCATCTGACTGTGACGCTGACTCTGAGTTTGAGCTCGCTCATCTGCAGCAGAAGCTTTGATAACCTTAATAAACCAACAAGGACGTTCTAAAACTAGCGTTTTGTTGTCATTCATTCATTGATTTAATGTTGTGTTTTACCTCTAGACCTGCTGCAGATCCATTGTGATTTAAATTTATACTTAAATTAAAAGAAAAACACACAAAAAAACTGTCCTTCCTTAACAGGTTCAGTCTTGAAAACTATATGTATTTGTCTTGTGAAGCATGGAGAAGCCTTAGTGAATGCTGTAGACTAGCAACCTGCAGCATTTTGGGTCTTCTAAAATGGCTCCTAATAACCCTACTTAAAATGATTGAGATAAAAAGTTCTTAAATATAATATAGTAATAAAGCCAGTTTTTAGCAGTTTTTCAGTTTGCTTGTGGAACAGTTGCAGTGACACAACAGAATAAAACTAAAAGTACAACTAATATCATTAACACCAAATTTAAGAATTAGGTGTTGTTTTTTTTTATTACATGATTTCTTACAGACTATATTTATAAAAAGTGAAGAAAAAAAACTTCCTTTTGAGGTCATGAAACAGTTGAATATTTCCACAAGTTTTATTTCCCTGGACTAAAGGTAAATAATCTTTATAGTAAATAATCTTTAGCGGTGTGTCTTTTATAATCTTTGGATTATAAAAGTTGCAGGAAAATACTGCAGACCATTTGACCTAAGGTCTTGGTTTCTGGTAGGTTGAGCTCAGTCCTTTCATAAATAGAGTTTGAAGGGTTTAAATTTATGATCTTAAATTACTTCTAAATTGCAGTGATGGACTCCTGCTCTTTGTGTTTCTTCTGAAGAAACAGAACATTTTACTGTTTATACATGTTACCTGTTGGGGGTGCTAATGCAAGCTTTTTAGGGTTGTTAGAAACTTCCCTGCTCCTTCAGCTCTTTAAGGAACAGAAACAAAACTCTTAATTAATTATTGCCATGGTGATAACTTTTAAACTTAACAACAGGTAAGGAAAAAAGGGTTGATCTTCCAAAAATGGAATGAAACCTGCAGCACATCTCACCATGTACTGTTTTATTTCAGGGAGTTTCATTTCCGCCACCCTCGCCGCTCAGTGACACTCAGTATGAGGAAGACCGGGGCCATGAAGAAAGGAGGGATCTTTTCTGCTGAATTTCTCAAAGTCTTCATCCCCTCACTGCTGCTATCGCACATCCTCGCTCTGGGTCTGGGGTAAGAATCTTAATATCTTTTAGTCATTTATCAAGGAATCACATCGATATTCTTAAAAAAAAAAATCTTGTTCCCATCTCTTGGATTTTTTTTTTTTTTATTTATAGTAAGTATGTTCAGTCATCTACTTTTATCTTTATAGTGCTTTTAATTCAATTCTGTTTACTTATTTATCTCCAATGTACAACATGTCATCCCAAGACACTTTACAGAGACAATTTGTTCAAATCACACAGACAGATTGAATAAAGGTTTTCTGTCTAAGGAAATACAGCTGATTGCTCAGTCATTGACTTATCATTATTCGCTCCCCCTAGATGAGAATGTAGCGACAGGAAAACCTTCAGCAGAAAAGGTAATGGTAAAATATCTCCATAGGTGGCTCTGTTTAGGAAAATAAAAGTAAAGATGAGCTATGTGCTCATTTTCATGTTATAAAGGATAAAGGAGAGCACATAGTTAGTCATAGGAAAAGATGAGGCCATAGCTATATCTAGGAGAGAAACATGACTAAACAATGGAAAAGAAAGACCCAACCCTATCATCTACAATAAAATCCATAATGGTGTCACAGCCAAAAAGAACCAGGCTAAATGAAGCTACTATGACCAGAAAAAGCAGATAACATAAAGTTAGGGGTTAAGCTAACAAATGATGCGGAATTGCAGAATAGATGGAGAATAATGAAAAGTGGTCCCTATGTCCTCCAGCAGTCTAAGCCTATAGCAGCATAACTATAAAGATAGCTTAGGATAACAAGAGCTAATCTAACTATAAGCTTTGTCACAAAGGACAGTTTTGAGTAGACAGGCTGTCTGCCTCACGGACTAAAACTGATAGTTGATTCCACTTGAGAGATGTCTGATAACTAACAGATCTGCCGCCCATTTTAATATAGGAGACTCTAGGAACCAATAGTAAACCTGCAAGTTGAGAGCAAAACGCTCTGTTGGGAACATTAGGAATGATCGGATCTCTGATATAAGATGGAGCTTTATTATTTAGGGCTTTATGTTTGGTCTTCCAAAGCTGCAGCAAGCGACAATTTAGTACATGGAGGTATTTTAGATCTGTGCCAGTTTATAAGAAAAGATCATGTATATTGAGTAAATCTGGTAAACTACTTGGTTAAACTGTTTTGTTTTCAGGTTTACCGTCATGTTCTTTTAGATTAATTTAGCAGAGTTTCTTCATATGAAAAATTATCTATGGCTTCAGTGTATAGACCCTTCTTAACTCTCATAGTTCTTCACATTTTGTTTCATTAAATCTGATTTATAAGTGGAAGTAAAAATCTTACATGGTTTCCAAAGTGTTGCCAAAAGAAAATACTCTGATCCATCTGAATGAAGTCCATTGCAAGCATTTTCTTTTAGTAGTCCCAGTGCGTGCAAGTACAGCATCATGAAGTGCAAGGAATGCAGCAGACTGGTCAGGGAGGAAATTAAAGTAATTAGGTCCCAAAACATTATTCCCCAGATCTCATTTTGATCCATCCTCTGAACATGGAAAAATGATGATTATCTGCACAGAGAACTGACTGTTCATCTGGGCGAGAGATGTTTTAGTCAGGATGACCACGAATCAGATTAATGAGAGGGTAAGAACAAGGATGTCGCTGTTCAGGTGGGGCATAGAGAACTCATTTTTGAAGTTTTTTTAGAAGCCATGGATAGATACAGCATATGAAGATGGTTCTCTGGTCAGACTGGAGAACCATCATCATATGCTGTATCCATCTATTCTTTCTGATTCAGCTTGAGTCGTTGGTGAAAAAGATTTTTATCCAATTACAAATAAAGTTTTTGAAACTGCATCTAGACCTCCATCAACTAGAAAATAAGGCATCACTGTGTATTACAGAAATAGTACTAAAAGTAAATGTATTTCTTGAGCTTGTTATGTCACCAAAAGCCAAAAGGTTCAAGGTGTAGAGGTACTTTACAAGGTGTAAAGTGGTATTAGCACTATAGTCCCCCTCCCCCACCTATTGCCCCATTCTACCAGTCAGAACTGCACTCCATCCTGATCTAAACAAAGAAACATTTACTTTTAAAATCTCCATTCTCTTTTAAAGCCCCTAAAGATAATGGTGCTATTTATTTTTGTGCTGACCTATGTCATGCTTTTAATGTTCTTCTGTTATTCTTAGAAATGTGTTTTTTATCAGGATAGCAGCATTTCATTATGTTCATTAATTGATGTTATTTATTTATTTATCTATTTGCATAAGATGTTTTACACAGTCAGGTTATTAAACCTGAACGGTGCTTTTTACCAGCAGGGGGAGTTGGGAGCAGTTTCTCAGCTGTGTGTTTTCCTGTCAGCAGAGCAGCTGTGGGACACCTGTCCCCTCAGACACAGCAGAAACATGCTGGTTGTGACAACATGTGGTGCAATGATCTAAATTAGTCCATGTAGGGATGTGGTGATAGCACAATGGGGATAAAATTAACCATAAAGGATGATTTTAAATCAATGATTTGATTATTAAAATTATGTGTTTATATGGGATTTGTTTTTACAGCTGATAGACAGTTAAACTCCTATAAATGCGTTATAAACAGCAGCTTAATTCAGTACCGAAAAATAAAGAAAAATAGAAAAACCCAACCAGCAGTCAGTGTACATTTATTCCCAACAATCCTATGTTAGTGGAATAATTGAGTGATTTTTGGTGTTGCACCTATTGGCAGTCCTAAAGATTCATACAAAGATGTCTGTGGATCCTCAAAAGTCAAGAAATTATCAATAAGACAATGATCTTACTTAAAAATACCCATATCTGCTCTCAGAGTAAACATCAAAAAGCCTGAGACCGTTGGAGGTGTGGTGGATGTGAGGGGATGACAAATCAAGAAAAAATGTGCGAAACCTTAGCAGGTCTTTAACTGGATCCATGTGCTTAACTCAGAATTGGACTAAACCTCTCAGCTACAGAAGGTCCACATGTAAAATCAAACAAAGGAAGGAAAATAGAGATGCTACGATGTAGTTTTTCCCGATACGATACCTGGGCTGAGCCTATTGGCCAATATCCCATACGATGCAATTTAACTGTTGAACGAAAGAACTATATATTTTGCCTTGAGATTAGCATTGTTAAATAAAGGTTACACAATTACATGGTTATAAATATACTTTATATTATTTATTAACTGATTAGCAGCAAAGAGAAAGAAATAATAGTTCCATGCAATGTGGACTAACTTGGATATCCGATATCAAATGCTAGTTGATCAATATTGGTATTGGATTTGGGCATCTCTACTGGAAAATACTCTAATGCCCACATTATGATGCATCTGTGATGCTGTGGGCTTTCCTTTCCTATGTCAGGACTTATGACATCATAAACTCTTTGAGCTATTAGTGTGTTTTCAGTTTGATGATAGTGAAAAAATTTATCATTTTAACGTTTTTGCACATCTCAAACAGGTTCCAGTCAGTTTAGGCTTAATCCAAGCCTGCATGTTCTAACAGTTGTTTACCTCTCAGTGTCGTTTCCTTCCCTCTCCTTCTCAGCGTCTACATTGGAAAGAGGTTGACCACGCCGCCGGCCAGCTCCTTCTGAACTTGAAGAAAACTGCCTGAGAAGTTGCCACGAGCCGTTTATGGAGGAAGTTTTGCTGTTGTGAGAAGATTGCCCGTCTCCCATCCCTCTTACTTTCCTGCCTGCCTCCCCTCCCCTTCTCTTCCACTCTGAGACATGACTTTGCTTTTTGTTTTTTTAACGCCGTCTTTGCCATATTTCCTCCCTGAATTTTAGCTTCCCTCTAGCTGTTTGTAGTCTTCACTCATTGGAGCGTTTAAAGACTGATCTAAGGTCATGTCCCCCCCTATTAATAGGTCTATAAGTTTATAAAGGGTGGGTTTACTAGGAGGGTTGCAGCATTAACTAAACTCCTGTTTCTCCACATGTGAATATTTCAAAACGGAGACTGACCAGGGAGTGTGCCACATGCGTGAATTTGCCCAGAGCTCGATCACGACCAAATTTAGACTGAAAAGCACACTGAAAGTGTGATCATGCCTTTTTTCTTTTATATATATATATTTTTTTCCTGAAAGTGGCCATTTTGTTTCTTCTTTAGCTAATATTGCCTATTTTATTTATTTTGGAACCAGTAGTTGTTTATAAAAAGGTTTTGACAGCCGCCAATTCAAACATGACCTTTTCATTCGGACCAGTTCTGAAAGAAGAAGCAGGAAGATTTTGCGCCTGGGAAGCGAAGCGTGTGCTGCTCTGACACGAACTGGAAACCGGTTTGGGTCGCTTATCTGTCCAACTCTTGACGTTCAGTCTTGCTCAACTTTTTTAATTGACTTTCTCCTGAAAGATTTTCAATAAGAAAAAATGTAACCAAGAAATTAACTTTTCTATTAGGAGTTTCCTCTATGATATATGTATTGTTTTAGAGATGCTTTTGTTTAAGGAAAGCTTCACTCCTGCACTCCAATGTGTGTCATAAACAGTGAAATACTCCATGAACCTGCAGATGAAGAATGTGACTGTGCAAACGTGAAAAAGCACAAAGAGATGGTGCCGGCATTATGCTGCGACAGAGACGTAGCAGCAGGTAGGCAGGCTTCAATAACCTGAAGCTCAGTCCCAAACTGTAGAGCTTCAATAGTAAAAAAAACAAAAACAAACTTTGGCCTCAGTGAGGTTGAACAGATGTCGCCGTGATTTGGTCTTTGCTGCAGCAGCATCTGAAATCAGATAAAACTGGGTTTCCCTAGAGCTACAGATGCATCTCAGCAAATCAGAAAGTCATAAATATATCACTCATTTCTCAGAGAGTGATTTATTTTGAGTGTTTAAATCTGTGAATTTGGATGATTATGAAATCTTCAAAATAAATGGAAACTGATCTGCTAATTTTCCAGGGTTAGAAACATGTTTTTTTTTTAAAGACTCTATTCCTTATTAGTTTCCCTAAACCATAAACATCTGAATGTATGAAACATAAGGGCTTTTAACTTTTGTTTATATTTATATTATCTTTTACCTTTTTAAACCTCACCATACCTTCAGTATTTGTCCAAATCTAATAACATTTGTGAATTAAGTCAGTGAAAGAACCCAGATACCGATTCAAAAACTCAGCATTTACTCATATTCGACCTCAAGGACCTGTTCGGATCATTTTGAACCCTGTGGTTCTAAGCATCAAAATCACTTATAATATTTTAGAAACCATATTAAGTTATCAGATCAGAAACCTGAAAAAAAAAAAAACATCTTTGTGGTAAAATGTCTAGAATGTCAGAAACGCCTAGGCATGTGAAACTCAGGAAAACTATGGGACCTTTAAAAGGATTTTTAAGTTCGACCGCTGTTCTCAGCTGTGTCTTCAGAGTTTTAGACTTGATTCCAAATTAAATGAAAAATGCACTTTCATCTAAACAATCCAGTCTTTTTCGGGAGGTTTTAAAACCCAGTGATTCAACAGTCCTGTATATGTCTGTGTTTGGCGGCTCATTAAGTTCTGACTCCAGCTGCTCTTTAAAAGTATTTTCTTCAGGAAACATGTGAGCTGTTTCTATTTCACTTCCTCCTTTCATTCAATTTTCCTTTAATATTTTTTGTATTACACCCCTCTGTCAGCAATTATTCTTTTTTTTTTTCTTGGCTTATAAAGGATGTTGATCAACATCCTTTATAAGCCAAGAAAACAATTCTCCACCTTATCTCCACTAAATATATTTTATTGGTCTCACAATTTCGAAGGACTGAATAATGTTTTTTCCATGAACTTTAGGAAATAATCATCCAAAATGACAGAAATTTTATTTTTAATGATACTTTGATTAGCTGAGATGCACCTGTTGTTTGCAGTGTGGGTTTACCCTATAGCGTTAGCAGATGCGTTCTATTTTAGGAGGAAATTGATTGAAAATATGAATCTTTTTTGCACTTGTTGGACCGAAACAAATCAAAAACGTTCCCCCGTTCCTTTACCAAAAAGATCTCAGTGTTTGATCTCATGATACATTAAAAAATCTAAAAAAAACTCAGCATGCCTCTTTCATTAAACACTTAACAACCAGCAGATGCTAACCTCACGTTATTTTCGTTTTCAGCCCCCATTGCTTGTGGTTGTGTTTGTTCCTGCTGCATTCAAACCGTAAATTTTGTATTCTTTCCCATTATTTGTTTTAAGTCGTTTTTATTTTCCTGCTGTCATTGAGATTGTGAACGCACACATTGGGAATCAAGCTTGACATGTATATGTTTAGAAAGTGGGAAAACTGTGATGAAACTGGTTTCTGTTGATGGCAGGGACTGATGGATGAAAAAGAAGCGTGGAGAGAGATTTTCTCCTTTAGACTGGGATGGTCCGAAAGTACTTCTTGTATCAATCCATTTGCTTTCATTTTTTTTCCTGCTACATGAAGACATTGATAAACATTTTGTCAATAAAGATGACCTGAGTGAAATCATTCTTTTGACCTGGTTCTGGTTGTTTTCCTTTTGTGGATGAGCGTTTCCTTTTTTGCCAATATAGCTCTAGGAATCGATCTTCCATAACTAGATAATAGGCCAAAAAAATTAGCATTCACAAGCAGACCATTATGGTTGTTGCCTTTTAGGGTTCTGCTTACTGCATAACCTCTTTCACTGAGGTTATGGTTTTAGTTGAGTGTGTCTGTCAATCTGTGTGCAGGATAACTTAAAATTAATTTTTTACCAAAAAGGTCCACCTTAATCTAAGGAACAATCCATAAAGTTTTTGGTGATCATCACGTCATAATCTGGATGCAGGAATTATTTTAAAGGATTCTTTAACATGACAAGCAGTTCTCCTCTGAACCAAAAGGAGCTTCAGCATCAGACTTCAAAAGGTCAAACACTTAATCTGCTGATCAAAAAAGAAAGAGTGAATAAAGAGGGTGAGAGCAGAACAAACACCACAGGCTGCAGACACACGCTGTGCCTTATTTACAAACCTATGAAAGGATTTTATTGAAATTGTTACCAAAGGTACACCTCATGCAAAGGAACATTCATTAAAATTTGGTAATGATCCAGATCATGTGCAATTTTAGCTACAGGTGTAAGTCACATTATGGGGCAAAATTGTGCTTTGTGAGGGTCTGCACTCAATGAGGGCTTTTCTAGTTTAAATTGTCTTAGGGAGTAAGATCGTAAAACCACGGATACGGAAAGGAGGCTGAAAAATAAAGGGCGGATAAGAACTAAGGGGAGAGAGAAAAAAAGGGACAGGAAATAAAACAAGATATACAGCAAGTCCTAGAAGTCTGCTTTCACACCCGCATGAGACAGAGAGAAAGAAAACAGAGAAGAGAACAACAAAAAGAAGATGACAGACAATCAAAGTAAACATCAAGAAAAGTTTCCAGAGCAGCAGGTATCCCTTAAATATACAGTTAGTATATGTGTGTGGAAAGCAAAACCTATGGTGATTACATAACATTACTCAGGGTGGTCTATATTTGTAGCTGCAACTTAGTATTTAGTATTGGGGTCTATCCGTGGACACTTGAAATTCACTGGACTTTTTTTCCAAGTTTGAAGACGTTTCGCTTCCCATCCCAGAAGCTTTTTCCATTCAAAATGTCAGGAATAGAGTTCCAGGTTTTATACAGCAGCCTTGTTGGGCTACTGTATAAAACCTATTGCTGACATTTTGAATGTGAGGAGCTTTAACAGCTGAGCTCTTTTGTCCATCTGGTAAATGATCAATTGAAAAATAAATATGATTTACGTGTCTGTTTCAATGAGCAGCTGTCCCGCTCATCATGCCCTGCCTTAGGCAAAGGTTGTGATACAGAAGTAAATGAGATCTGAGATGCCAAAAAGAAAAAAAACATCTAAAGAATTACCCAGTAGTTCAGAGAATATTGTCTTTTAAAGAAGTTTTTTTTTTTACAGAAACTAAAAAAAATAAAATTTCACATTTTTAGAGATATGCTAAATAATAATAGTGGTGTATCTTAATAAATCATTACATTGTCAAAGGATTTATTTCACGAGGTCAACTCTAAAAGTGGAACATTTTCACAATTTATTATTAGATTTTGATGTCTTTGTCTTATTGTTGTTTAATCTATATTCCCGGGTAATATAAAATATTTGGTCCTTATTGGATGTAGAACAAAAACAATTAAATTGACTCAAAGCTTTAAAAAAATACAACTGTGGGTTCAGGGAATCTTAAAACTTACTAATTGCTTTAGTGAGTTTTTCTCTCTAGTAATGGGATGTACATGTAGTATCCCAGTGGAGTTGTTTATCTTCATTATGCTACGTTATGCTGTTAATATCAGTTTGTTCTGGATGTGTAGCAGCTTGATATCAGATCCTGAAGACTTCACATCAATCTAAGTGCTGCTATGGGAAATTTGAAACTGCTCAGTAAAGTTCCTTCTGTCTAAACACAGAAAACAACAGTAAAGCCTCATTTAGGAGGGAAACACTGCACTCCAGTGGCAGATCTACTAATATCCTTTATTCAAAAGTGATTATATGTTTTCCATAATCCTGTCAAAATTAGGAAAATTAAAATATGAAAATAATTCTCCATGTTTTAAGACAGAATAAAGAGAACAGAGATATGGCAAATTCCTTGGCATGTAAAAAAAAAAAAAAAAAAAAAAGATGCATGAGCTAGTAATTACTGTGTAATGACATTACAGGGTCATCAAGTGTGTTTAGCACCGATAGGGCCTAATATTAAACCAAATCTTTCAGGGTATCATTTGAAAATAGAACCTTTGTGAACAAAGCTTCCTCCACTCCCTCTCAACGCTCCCTACATGGAATGTCAGAACACCTGTTATCAACCAATCCAATGCTTAAAGACTCCCAGCTCCTCCCACTGCAGCTGATGGCGTTACTATGGGTTACAGGGTGGTGGCCAGCTCCATCTCTTTGGTGAGGAGACTCTGTGTTTCAGTCTTAACAAACACATGGAAACAGAAAAAGGCAAGGTGGAATGATTTATAGATTTATTTCAATTTATTCAATGTATAACTAAAAGGTTTTTTTATGAAGGAGCAACAGTGTGTTCTGATTTTCCTTTTTCTCCTTGAATTTTTTTTTATAGTTACCAAAAGATTTTTTTTATAGAGTCTTGCAAATGTATTAATACCCCTTAAACATTCTCTCAACTATAAAAACCTCTAGCAAATGTTTTGATATTGCCAAGCACATATAGTTATAACTCCATTACTCTTTTCCATGTCCTTGCTGTGTGAAGGAATTCCCACAGCATGATGGTGCCACCACCATGTTTTATAAGGGGGTCGGTTTTTTGCAATATTTATTATGCTTGATTCAAAATTTCACGCATAGTTCAAACAGTGTAAAGTAAAGAGCATCACTTATCTTTTTTTTTCTATATTTTTATCGTAGAGTGCCCTTGAGTGTTTTGATAGAGACTTTAAATCATTATTTATTTATTTCTTCATTGTTACTGCAAATTACACTTCCCTTAAAAGTTGTCTACAAAAAGTTGTCCAATCGACAAAATTCTGTCACATAATTTAAAGATTTCTGCAGCTCCTCTGAAGCTACCACCGTTCTATTGGTTGTTTCTCTGATTAATACTCTCCTTAATTGGTCATTAGCGGAAGTAGACAGCAATGTCTTGGTAGGTTTGCAGTGGCACCATACATCTTTACCAGATGTTGGACTGAATAGAGCTGTGTGATCCTCAAAGGTCTGGATGTTGGTTAATAGCAAAGTCATGCTTTGAACTTCTCCAGATCTTTCCTCTGGTTTACCTTTCTGCTGTGTTGCTCGGTTCTCATGATGCTCTTTGTTCACCAGCATTCTCTAATAAGCCTCTAATGTTTTGACTTGATTTATACTGAGACTGAATAACAAAGCAGTCAATTATAAGCATCTGCTTGTAAATAATAATAATTGTACTTTATTGATCTTAGATTGGAGAAATTTACCTCTGCATTTAACCCCTTCCCTTGGGTAGCAGTGGGCTGCAATCGTGGGGCGCCCAGGGAGCAGTTTGGGGTTAAGGATCTTGTTTAGAGACCCAGAGTGGCAATCTGTGAGGGGCTTGAACTCAGAACCTAAGGATTCCAAGCTCTATGCCCAAACCACTTGGCTGCCACTGCCCCAATTGATTTTATTTGATAGAATCAAAGGAAAGGGGCCTGAATATAAATTCATGCCACTTTTATGTTTTTTTTTCTTTTCATTTAAACAGCTCTTTGAGTTCTTTTGGCAGCTTAACAATGTCTAGTTTAATGTTTCTAGTTGATGCATCCCTGCTCCAACCAGGGGCAGATTTAAGAAATTTGGGGCCCTAGGCAAAGACAGGCATGGCGCCCTCTGAATTGAGAAGACAACAAATAAAACAGACCCAGTTTATAGATAGATTCAGAATTTTTTTATAGAATAGATATACATTATTTGTTCTACTGTATCTGAGACACGCTTAATATTATAAGCATTCTGATGCAATTTTAACAAAAGGATTTTTATCAAAAACATAATTAATGTGCACAAATAATGAATACCATACATGTGAAAGCTTTATGGGGCCTCCAAGAACTTGGGGCCCTAGCCAACTGCCTAGTTTTGCCTAATGGTAAATCCGCCCCTGACTCCAACACAGCCAGATCAACTGAACGGCATACTACCAAACTGGATGAAGAAGTAATTCAGTCATTTGAATTAGCTGCGTTAGAGCGTGGATGCATCTGAAACCTGCAGAACAGTAGATCTTGGGAACCAGGTTTGAAGACCCCTGATCTGAGGATTAGTATGACTGTGTGGTCTTTAAGCACAGTAATTGGAGCATTTCTGTAGTGGGATTCATGTGAATCAAGGTGCAACAATACAAAAGAGATGCTAAGCAAATTGCAAAGAAGTCTACAGGCAGCAAAAGAACATACTGTACTCAAAGAAGAGGCTGTCAGGGAAAACAAAACAAAACAATGTTTCAAGCTAAGGTCAAACAGATGAGGCAAAAAAAATCTAAGTCTTAAACCCTGTTAAGAGCAGCCCACAGGTGCAATTCTATAGAAATAAATTGTTATAATACAATACATTAAAAAAATTCCTTTTGCCAGTTTATTTGCATTGCTAACCAGTGGCTTTTAGCTGTGCTTCATTGCTACAGTTTGCTATCTTTAGCAGCTAACTGTGACTCAATGCCTACATTAACGTACCCAAACATCCTCTTGTGCATGTACCATTTGTCCATTTGTATGTTCTGTCTGAAAATTGATAGGGAATTCACAGATTGATATGAAAAATGCTGTTTTTCATTGGTTGTTTTTATCAATATGTTGCGGGGTGCATCACATTCATAGCTGGGAAATATGTGTTTCTGAGTATGACCAAGGTGCCATAGATGATGTTGTTCATATGGACAAAGAAAAATCTAAAAAGGCTGTGTGAGTTGGCTTAGTACGCTTAGGATTGATGAGCGCCGGAAGTTGACTAAGTATTTTGAGAAGGCCAAAAGCAAAATTCTCTATTCAGTATAATTTAAGATTGCTATAGTTTGTTTCTGCACATCCTGCACACATTAAAGACGGTATTCTAACTGAAGCAGACCCAGTGGACCAAGGACAGGAACCGGCTTTCTGTCGAGTCACTGTTCCTGTAAAATAACTTTTAAAAGACCTCTGGCAAATACTTTCTAAGCGTATTTGATAAGTAACCAAAAACTGCTCAGCCAGAAGCTAACTGTGAATGAGGAGACAAGAAGATTGAGAAAGGAGTCAGGGTAAAGAATGAAATGAACGACTAGAGTATTTACATTTTTTGATTTTTAAAACGTTTCTTAATGAGGCTGATGCTTTTTATTTTTAATCTTACCTTGAGGTGAAATTTCCTCAGATCTCTGATTTTCCTTTTTACAGTATGTATTAAAAGATAGCTTGCATTTTTAAAAGCTAATTTTCTTGTGCAGAAAATGCAATATTTCTATAATTATTCAATATCAGAGATTTTTAAGTCATTTTTTGCACTTTTTTTATTTATGAAACTCTATCTGAAGTGTAATATTTAGCTATTACTGCTAAACACAAAGAATGCATATTTTTTATATGTTTAAATTTTAAAACCTTTTTAAATGAGGAGGTCCATTAAAATATTTAAAAGCTGAGTCAAATATCTTCTTAAAAAAAAATTATATGACCACAATATCTAATTCCATTCAATTCAGCTTATTTATATAGTACAAATTCACAACACATGTCATCCCAAGTCACTTTACAATTCAACCAGATCATAAAATTAAATGAATTCAAAGTTTTTATCTAAGGAAAACTAGTTCATTGCTTCAATTAATTGACTCGAAGGCAATCCCTCACACAAAGCATTCTTGTAGTGACAGTGGAGAGGAAAAACTCCCTTTTAACAGGAAGAAACCTCCAGCAGAACCAGGCTCAAAGTGAGTGGCCATCTGCCGAAGCCGACTGGGGTTCAAGGAGACAAAAGCAGAGATGCAAAAGGCAACTGTAAACCAGCTCTACAGGTGGCAAGGAAAGACACAGCCAGGCAGACAAACTCTGAGCCAGCTCCCATGTCACAGGAAGAAGAGAGCACATCCAGCCAGTCACAGTCAGAGAAAAAGGACTACACTAAAAAAAACGGGCTGAACTTGATCATCTATAAACAACAGTGTTTATGGCCTCAGCACAACTTATATTTCTCTCCAGGATGGTGTCATAGCCTAACAGGAATAGACCAGATGGTGCTACTATGAGAAAAAGCAGAGAAAGGATAGCATTAGAGATAGAACTAACAAATTCTGCAGTGGTAGAATAGAGATAGAATGAAACAGAATGATGAAAAAGGGGTCCCTATGTCCTCCAGCAGTCTAAGCCTATAGCAGCATAACTATAGAGATAGCTCAGGATAACCTGAGGCACTCTAACTATAAGCTTTATAAAAAAGGAAGGTTTTAAGCCTACCCTTAAAAGCAGACAGGGTTTCTGCCTCACGGACAAACTGGTCGTCGGTTCCACAGGAGAGGAGCCTGATAACTAAAAGATCTGCCTCCTATTCTACTTCTATTAATTCTAGGAACCACTGGTAAACCTGCAGACTAAGAGCGAAGTGCTCAACCATTAACATGGTTGTGCTGCAATACTAAAGCAGTTGGCTTTGCTGTAGTGCCGTCTTTAGCTTCAGATCACATATAGCTTCACTCGTAATGCTGACTTCCTTTAGCAGAAAACTCTGGCATGTTACTAACCTAAATTTCAACAGGAGGAGCTAGAAGTGCTACAATATTTATATTAGCTTTTGTTGTTGGCTGTTATACAAAAAGTTTTGGTTGTTTCTTTTCTGATTTTTGTTGCATTAAAGTTTTTAAACTTACATAGGGGGAGACTTAGACCCAGCAACCAAAACACATCTCCTCATCATTGTTTCTAAAATAAAAACTAAACACCAATGAAAGATGAATACAATCTCTGCTCTCTGAATTCACTACTTTCAGACTGAACAGGACCAGAAGAAAACAAATGGCTCTTGTTTACACTTCTAATAAGACGGCCATGTCCTGTTTTGCTGATGTCACTGTTTGTCCTACATCTGTTGCGGATGCCAGGGCTGTGCCCTTCCACACCAGAGAGCACACTCTCTATCTATCTTCCAACTATTTAATAGGCTGGCTGCCAACTCTCCCCTTAGAATACCCAACACGTCTGTCTGTCCCTGCTCCAAAAACCATTTGTTTTCTTTTTATGGGACAAAGAATGTGGACGTCTGGGGTCCTGTCTGAACCTTTGGGCATTGCCTAACGCATAGTTTTTTTTTTTGGTTTCCCAACTGTTAAGAATTCACCTCTGATGTTCAGATGTGTGTCATTCTTCCCTACAGAAACCACCACCCCCACACAATCCCCCCCGGGAGATTTAATGGTAGAAGTAAAACCATTAGTTGCCCACCACGTTGTTATGGAAACTGGGCCGGCTTGGACTCACTGCTAACACACTTTTCATGGCCTCATGCAAGGGAGAGCTTTTGTCTGCTGTAATGCAACTCAGACATTGACAACATGTGTTAGTGTGCTGCTATCGATTGCAATGCAGCAGCAGTTTATTCAAAACTTACAAAAACCCTCAACTTATGATACTTTGCTGATAATGAATCATAGTTAATAAAATGCTATCTGAGTGTTAAAGAAATCTAAAATTAGATCTGTAGAAGCATTAAAAAACTATTTTTCATGACTGCTTTAAAAAGTTATAAGATAATCTGGCTTGGTAAAATAATAAATAAACTCACCAGTCAGATCCTGACTGATGGATCCACGTTCTTATCTTTTAGTAGCTTTAGTAGCTTTTCATCAAACACAGTTTCTTGGCTCTAATTTATCAAGTCAAGGTAAATTGGACTCAGGTTTGTTTGGACAGGCGGTTTTTCATGTATACGTAAAACAGAAATTTGTAAACGGGAGGGGCTCTGTTATCAAGATTGGTCAAATAATCTAAAACAGTTAGATGAGAGAAAAAAAGTTTGGGCCCAGATAGCTTTTGCACTAGCGCAACACCCTAATAATTGAAGTTTAAGTTGAAAATAACAGCATGTGATCATTGTTGAGGTTTGCAATGAATCACTTCTAGCTACTTTTGTAGGTAAGGTTAGTCCTGTAGCAGAGTTGTTGGAAGCTATGGTCTGGAGCAAAGATCCTAGGTAAGGAAAGGGTTGTAATCACATCTAAAAAGCTTCTATTTGCAGTGAACTTAGAGCTACATACTGATGCAAGCTCTACACTGGTGGAAGCATCATTTTGTAAGCTACAGAATATTCTAAAACCTCAAAGTTCTGGATTATTCAGAAAACATTCTTTTGTAGTTATGGTAATCTTAGCTACAGTCTCTTGTATGAGAGCCTTTAGGCAAATTCCAGCTAACTCCAGGCTTTATTTTTGAGGTAGACAATGATTTCATTACACAATCCTCTAAGATAATCATAATTTCAGTCTGGTTAAATGAAAGTCTCTCCTGTGCTGTAGACAGGGCTGCTTAGCTGCCAAAACTTTTGGCTGTGCGTGCAGAAGTCAGCAGCAGGTAAGGTGTGGGTGTGGTGCTGAAGGGATAGCGCCTTTCATTCTTGGACTGGGTGTGACTTTGAGGAACTCTCCAAGGTTCTGATCGCTCCTTGACCTTACAGGACAGGTTATGATTGGCACGTTCAGCACGTTTAGGATCGCCGCATGTCGAGGATTTAAAGAACAATCCAGTCAAATCTGATTTTCCTCTTCTTCCTGGAGCTACAGGTCATTTCATATAGAAGAAAAAAATATATATCCACCTGTCTAACTGAATCGGGGTTTGTTTTATTTTTTGCAAAACCTCGCTCCCCACCTTATGATGCGGTTTATTTAGACGGATGAGTAAGCAGTTCAGGATTGTTGCAGAGATCGCTTCAGCAGCTGAGGGTTTCTTTTTACCCCCTCTTTAATCACATTCCCATTTCTGCTGTGGGAGTGATTTCAGCCAGTATTAACCCTCCACGCTGTTTTCCCTTTGTCACAGTGCGACCACCTGCGCTCTGCAACCCTTAAGGCGGTGGCTGTCCAACAGAAGAAAGACAGACAAGACTGAAGAAGGGGGAAAAAAGCGACTAGGAGCATCTAAACATGTCAACCACCGGGGAAGTGTCACCTTTTTTCCACAGTGTGGGCTCTGACAGTCCCTCCAGGCCAAGGCAGAAATTTTGTGGCGTGTTTTGCCCGGTGGAAGGCTCCTCAGAGGCGAAGACGCTGGACGCGCTGTCAGCGTGCAGAGGCAGGAGCTCCGGAGGGAAAGTCATTGACCGGCAAAGCGACATCTCCCAGCCCAGGAAGGTGGAAATCAGGGAAAGCACGGGCAAGGAGGTGCTCCAAAACCTGGATGATAAACGGGTAATTTCCCTCTATTTTAAACCCTAATTTTATCCATGCCGTGCTCTTCCTTTCGTCAATATGATCCACTCAAATCTTGCATACAGCAATCAGTTATTTAAATACAAACGTGTGCAAATCACAGACACTCAATGAAAGAAGTTTAATAGAGTATAGTCGGTTAACTTAACCGGACTACATTTCCCAGAAAGCATCGCAATGTATCAGAGCAGAAGGCAAATAATCTCATGCAGAAGCTATAAAGGGAGTGGCTCTGTCTTTTCACTGATGATGACATTATTTTGTAGCAAGACCATAGTGACACAATATAATGCATTAATAAATCTTTAAATAAAGAATTGATATGTACACATTTGTATCTATTTACATTAAAACATTTCAAAGGAAATTGGACTAAACTTAAACTTTCCAGGCCTGTAAGAATCACCAAAATCAGTTATCTTTGCCCAACGCCTGAATAATGGGAATATATAGTGAGCACATTTTGAATAATTGCATCGAAACTGCATGACTCTGATCAAATATGTGTGTCATTCTGCAAACCTTTCTGCCCTTTTCTTCTGACTGAACTGCTGTAAGAATTCTAAGCTGCATTTCTCACCCAAACGTCTTCAGATCTGGCCACAAGATGTTTTATGTGACTGACATCATGTAATGACATATTCTAATGCTGAAATCATAATAGTATTTTGACTTTGATTTCTAACTTATGTGGTGCTCTGCTTTGGGTCATGGTCATTCTATGAGACCCATTTTCGTCTAAGCTTTTGCTGATTATTACTTAAAAACATTACCCCTAATGTTATTCACGTATGATGCCATCTATTCCGTCTATTTTACAGCAAAACATCAACACACCGTTCACAGCTAGTGGTTCTGTTCCCAGGCTTGTAAGCTTTTTCTTTTTCCTGCAAATATAATGATACATCTTATATCTAAGGACACCTGTTTAGTTTCATCAGTTCACTGGAGGTGTTTCCAGAAAGGTTTCTGTCCCTGAATGCATCTACAAACTGTACACTGCTATTTTTCACAAGGTGTATATTTTTTCTGGTATGTATGCACACATTTTTGCACCAGAGAACATTAATCTCTGAGACACAGAACTGATTAATTCCCGAAAAGTGTGATTGCTGGACGTTTCAGTTGTGTTTATATTTGTAATATAATTATTTAAAAATATCAATGTGGCTCCTTCAGATTAACCAGTTTTGTGGAAATCCATATTTCTCTACTTTTGACGTCTTGATGACACTGTCTTTTTTAGGTGTTTTTAAATACATCCACTTGAGTGCGTCTATTTAATGCAAATGTTGGGAAATATATATCAGAAGAAGCTAAAAAATCTATCATGTAACCATCTGGGAAAATGTGTTAAAGCCAGAACAATCTTACATTATTATTACTATTATTATTATTATCATTGTCATCATCATTAAGACGTTTTTAAAAAATATTAATGTAAACCTTACTGTATTTTGGAATTAAGATATAGAAAGTCTTAAAACATACATTTTAATTATATATGTTATGTTTATTGAATTTATTAGAGTGAATGAATAGTTTTGGTCCTAGGTAAGGATACTAATGCTGATAATAGCAATAATGAAACATGAACCTGCGGTTTCTGAATGTAGACAAACAATGATCTGTTTAGCAGCTTCTTGGTTCTCATTTTAAGAGTTTGGGTTGGCTTCAGAAAAAAACAGCTTCTACTTCCAGTTGTTAAAAGCTTTGGGTGGGGAGGGTAAATCATTGTATCATGTTACATATTGATCTATAGCATTAAAGCAGCCAAGCCTTCTTCATCCTTATACATACTTAAGAAATACATCCATGATCACTGGCCTTTCACTTTAGTGAAATAATATACATGTAATTATAGTTTTCTAAAGTGCATTTTGCTTATACTACTAATATGTGGGCTGCATGTAATAATTCTGATGGGCTGTTAAAAATCATTCAGGTTGTATTGGTGGAAGCTATTTGTTTAGGTTCCTGTTGGGAATAGAATCTCTGAGCAGGCATTGTTAGAATGCTAGTTAGTCTTTTCATCCATGAGTTTAGCACAGTGTGATGGAGATGAAGTGGTAATATTTTCCGGAATGCCTTGAACTTAGTTACAAGAATGATTTAGAAACACAAACCAGTAATATTGAGCATGTAAATGAGGTGAAGCTGTCATATTTGTAATGAACAGCAGGGGGCGTACCGACAAACACCGTCAGGCAGTCACTAGCGCACCTCACAGTCTGCATAAACTAAGTAAAGGATAGTAGAGCCTGCTGTCTGTCTGTCTATATATTTTCTATTGATAATTGATAGAGTAACTTTGATCAACAAAACTACATTTATAAAAACATATTTATACTGTAATTGGATTTATTGTATTCATATGAATTAGAATAGAATAGATTTTAATAGAAAATATTTTATTGTCCCACAATGGGGAAGTTGTGGTAATTTGATTATATACTGTCAATGACGGAATACATTTTTTTTCTAATAGTTTTATTTAGATCAGTGGTTTATCATTTTTATTTTAACATCTAGATCATATCTATGTAGACCATATATTTTATTAAAATACATTTTTTAAAGGTACTCATTCATCTTTCTGTTTGTTTATTTGTTTTTATTTAGAAAGTGTATCATCCTGCATACTTAACTTATTTATAATTAGTGAAATATATATGAAGGGAACATATGTGGGTTTCCCTCCCAGACCGTCTCCATAGCATGATGATGATGATCATCATCATCATCAACATCTAAAATTTTTTTACAGAAGACCCTAAATTAACTTCCATGAAATGTTTACTATACATGCACATTCAAAATTGTGCCTTTATCTTCAGAAACAAGTACTGGGAAAGTTGTCAGTTAATTTCCAGGTTGATCTCACCATAGGTTGGTTTGCCCCTGGGCAAGGCACTGAACCCTAATGCTTGTATGAATGTTAGTATTACTGGAAAAAAAGAGACTCTAGTGATAAAAAGCAGTTGGTAGGTTTAGGAAAGCAGTATACCAATTCACTATTTAGTAGCTAGATCTCGATATGTAAAAGTGCAGCAGAATACATCATCACAAAATCAGTTATATCAAAAACTCAGTTCGAAAAGCAATATTTGTGGGTTATCATGAATAAAAACTCTGCATATTCATAAGATAATCACGTTGTTTCAGCAGATGGCCACACTAGACAGAGATGATCGAGATGTTAAAGGTCACAGGAGAGTTGGAAGGAATGACATCACACCTGGTTTGATGATGCAGCCTCCGTCTAGTTACCCAAATCAGATATAATGTGACCATGTTTGTTAACTAAATAAATAATCAAATATGTTTTAGCAAAGACTAAATTTAGCCTTTTGACACAGTCATGACTGATCAAAAAGGAGATTTTAAAACAGTTTTTTTCCCCTCCTTGCTTGAACTCCAACTTCCAATTCAATATTTATTCAAATTAAAATGAAAACTGATTCCAATCAAGGCCCCTGAAGGCTCCTGTTTCCTTAGCCCCAACAGTTTCCATTGTCGTTTCCTATGTTTCATTCTGCCTGGAAACTGACAACAATTTAAGACCTTCTTTGTTGGAGCAAAATTCTCAGTTTTTGGAGCTCAGAGAGTAAAAAGAGCCTGGATATAAGATGGCTGCTGGGCGTTTCTTCCTGGGAATGTTTGCAGCCTCTCCCCCTCTCCATCCTAATCCATGAAGGGAATTGATGGCATTAGTGCTGCTCGCCTGTCAATGGAGCAGGGCGAGGCTCTGCGCATGCTCGGTGCGGACCTTTCCAGGGGAAGAGGCTGTGTAGGCTGCGCCTCCTTTCTGTTCTCGTCTGATTTCGTCTTGGGAAGGAAAAGATTTCGGCGCGCCGGCGGAGAGCAGGGAGGCTGTCAGGATCCGGGTTAGAAGTTCAGGCAGTTTGGATCTTCCAGGTTTGGTTCCCCTGAGGGTTTCAGCTCCGTTGTTCTCCCCTTTAAGAACCGGCTTGAGTCTGCAGTATAATCCGCACTCCACCGTCCAAAGACGCAGCGCAAAGAACCCAAACACCGGTGAAGATGTCTGGATACCAAGGCAAGAAGAACATCCCCCGCATCACAGTGAGTGTCCGGCTGAGTGTTTGCAGACCGAGCCCTCTGAGGGTAAATCCGGCTGGTGGATTTTTAGGTTTTACTGGTGTGGGCCTGCGGGCGTGGACTCAGGATGTCACCGGCGTGGGTTTGGTTCCCCGCGCCGCTGCGCTCCGATACAAATCTAAGCTCATGGCTGCAGGAATTTCATCTCTTTATAGCATTTTTTCTTCTTACTTTAAAAATCTGCATCTCTCTCTCTCAGATCAAGAATGCGCCCAGAGAGCAGAGGTGACTGCAAATGTCCTGGTTTCTGCAGCATCTTTGCGGCAAGTGCGCACATGTCTGCATAACCCTCAGCTTCTACTCCTCTGGGTTTAGATACCCTTTTTCTGCACAAGTCTTTGTCTCTTGTGGTATGCATGCCAGTGGTGATTTCACGCTGGCGGTCTTTGTTAGGCGGGTGTCCCTGCACGACAACTGGTGGGAGCAAATGCGTCCCCTCCTCAAACTCTCCTTTTTTATTTATTTCTCCTTTAGGACAGTCATCTTCTCTACTTCTGATCTATTTTTAGAAGGCATTAACTGTGCTTCTGTGGAAGCGGATTATTTCACTGAATTCATTGCAGAACAGGGATGGTGATGGTGGTGATTTCAATGGAAAGTGGAGAACAGGGAGGGGAGGCAGGGCAGAGAAGGGAAGGGAGGGGACAGAGGGTCCTATTTCCTTCTATGCTCTTTCAGCTGTGCAGTGAGGGGAGGATGCATGTTGGCAGAGCAGGGAGGAGGCCACTGTCTATATAGCCCTATAGTGGATTTCATACAGCACAAAAAGTGCAACATCAGGACCCTGCTACTGCTTTAGAGGTGGTACTTTAAGACCTGACTCAAACTGACTGCAGAGGCATCAATAAAATGCACAGGTT